GACATGGGGTTTTGTGCTGGCAAGGAAGCTGAAAGAGCAGGGGAGGCTGAGCAGGCACTGTGTATATGACAGTCTGACAGAGTAAAGCTACTGTATGCATAAGCAATGGAGGGTGAGGCTGCAGAGGACAGGGATTGCAGATGAGGTGAAGTGGATGGAGGTAGTGGATGTTGGGAAAGGTAAGGAGGGCTTGTGTCATGAGAAGAGGAGAGGAGGAAGTGGTGAAAGAGTGTTAGGGCAGGCATTGGTGGGTAACTTGATATGAATCCTCTTATTGATTCGAGTTGGATTCACTTTTGCCATCATCAGCTTGCAAAAGGCATCCTCAGACAAGGATGAGGGAGGAAAGTGGCATAGAACTTTCCATAGAATCCCTAAGCAGCATTGTGCTTGAAAATGGCTGGCAGCTTGACAATGGCTGGGCAGGCAATGAACCACCACAATGGGAGTGTGAGCTTCTCACCTGACATCAATAGTGTTGGCAGTGGAGTTCTGAATGGCAAACACAGAATATAATCTGAAGATGATGTGAATGATGTGGGAGAGGTGCGAGAGTGAAGTGGATAGGGAGTTGGGATGGGTGGATGCAAGAATTTAGGCATCCAGAGAAAAGGAGGTCATTTTGAGCAACAACATCATTCAAACAAGGTGCATGAGATCCTCGAACAGCATAGGGTAATACTCTTCCATGCTCCTCTCTTCCCTCTGCTGCCACACTCACAAGCTTGGCCACCCATGTTTTATCACATTGGCTAAAGGAGCATATTTCTTAAGATGACAATTGGAGTCAAAGCCTGCATCAACTGAGATCCAGCAGCGAAGATCCCGAAAAGGCAGGAGTTCTGGGGCTGACAAGGGTAAGGCTCTGTTCAGCAACGAGAATACGGTCGTATTCTCATTTTGATGGCAGACAGTATTATTCCCACCATGCCAAATCAGGTAGCCGTGGCATGTGCAAAGCTACCTCACGCTTTATATGGAGATCTTTTATTTATTATTTCTGCACATAATTATTGGTGTTCCAGCATGCAGTTCCTATCTTAGATTCTTAAGTATAAAATATGCATATTGATCACACCCAAATTTAAGCTGGTGTTTTTTTTTGAAGAGTATCTTGAAGTATTGTGCATATTCTGAATACTGGGCATATTCTGAATACTGGGCATATTCTGAATACTGGGCATATTCTGAATACTGGGCATATTCTGAATACTGGGCATATTAAAATCACATATTTGAATTTTGATGAGCTATTTTAATTATTCTAATATTACTTTATATTACTATATTTCTTATTTAATCCTTTGTACCCATCTTAATAGTGGAGATTCAATGTTGGATATATTCCAGACAAATGTGAAGTAAATTGAAGTACAATAATGCCACTAATCAACCAATCCCGCACCTGCTGAGGAAATGACCAGAGTGAAATCAATGTGAGGTAGCTTTGCACATGCTGTGGCTACCTGATTTGGCATGGTGGAAATAATACTGTCTGCCATCAAAATGAGAATACGACCATATTCTTGTTGCCAAACAGAGCCTAATGGGGTTTAGCAGAGAGATAGGAGTGGGTGTGGATGGCAGTAAACAGCATGCCGTGGGAGGCCAGCCAGTACTATGGCAGAGATGACAACAGTGGTCGAGATATTGGCAGTAAGATGGCAAGGCTGTGGTAGGCTGAAGTGGCAATGATGACTGGATATGGCGTGGCAGATATAGGCAGGAGTGGCAAGTAGCAGTAAATGGCATGGTCAAGCTAGGCCAAAAAGGCAGTACTGGAAGGGGTGCCTCAGGTTTTGGCAGTAGGGCCTCAAGTTTTGACAGTAGGGCCAGGTAATGGCACACAGTGGCTATTGTGGCATGACATCAGGAATGGCAGTAAAAAGGCGAAGGTTATATGGCAGTGCTGAAGGTGGATGCAACATGGCATGCTGGCGTATTGCTCCAACAACAAGAGGATGGAGCCGCGGTATGCACATAATGACACAATGTCAATTTTGAATGTAAATTAGCATGGAATTAAGCAGGCAGCATAGTCACTCACCTGCAAGTCAGCTACCTTTCTCCTAGGTTCTACTGCCCTTTATTCATCTCATGGAAAATTGACCAAGTGCAGTGTCCAACTAGTGTGGGGTTCGCGATGTGGTGCCAATTGGCAGTATTGTGTGCATTCCTTGTGTTCTTGGTAATGGCCTTCATTCTGAACCCATTGTCAGATTTTGGGTCAAGTGCACCACCACAAGAGGAGGGGAACACATAGCATAATTCAGATAAGTATAGTATTTGAAAAGATGAGGGAGACTGAGTCTCCACATATGAGGTTGGCGAACATGGTGGTGTGGGAACGAATGGATCACATGCCACACCACTTTGTTTACTCAAAGATCTTGTTCTAACTCAGGCTCCTAAAACCAGCTGCTTGCCTCGCTCACAAGAGCCCCTTCATATTTATGCAGGGGATGAGAATTGATATATTATATAATAGGATCAGTGTACAAACAAACAGAAAGAAGGGCTCAAGCTCACGAGGGAGCGGCTGGCAAAACTGTCGTCAGTGATCCCCGAAATCCTTGATTAACCCTAACATTGGGTTCAGCGACAGGTGCATGTGCAGAGCTGACACATCAAGTAACACTGTGACTGCAAACACTGCACAAGGGTGCACACTGCTGCGTTAATGCTGTGATTCGTAACTTCAACCTGTGGATCTCTGAATTCTATCAACAAGAGGGTGATGATGTATCAAATTACTTGACTGCTTATGATGCTGTACTGTAGTACTAGAAAACTATAAAAGGCCTAAGATTCAAGAAGGAATAGATACTATCTAACAATGGCGAACACACTGAATAGTGCAAACCATGAGTTGACAAAGAAAGAGAATGGCTTTCACTTCCTCACTAGCAAGACAACCAAAGATCAACTTGCCAGGTCTACCATCAAGGCACTTTCAACACAGATGCAGAATTGTGCACCCGATCTGTGGCAACTCATTGCAGAGTTGCTGACGGCTGACCCCACAGCCAACCTGATGGCTGATGTGCAAACAGCATGCTCTCAAGAAAGCCAGTGCTGGGAAATTGATCAACAAGCCAAACAATGGAGAGATTACAATGTCAGATGCAGCCATCGAGGATGTTGACAGGGAATTCCTTGACTCCAACAACATTCTGTTGGTGGAAGAAGGAGACAATGTGCCTGAGTATTAAATATGTTATGGAATTTTTCTATCTACTAACTCAAGCATGACGATGTGCGCCTCTGCACCGTGCACCTGTCGCTGAACCCAATGTTAGGGTTAATCAAGGATTTTGGGGATCACCGATGACAGTTTTGCCTAGTGTTTGGAAGTTAGGTTAGTTAACTGGAAAATAACCAAGACTGGACCGGACCTAACTGCAAAATTAACCTAACTGCAGTTAGGGTTAGTCCATTTTGAAAATAAGACAACCGGTTATTTTGCAGTTAACTAACTGTTAAAAAACCGGTTATAACCGGACCTGATATACCCCTTCAAAACACACCTAAGAACGTGAAAAACGCTCAAAATTTGACTGAGTTATTGTCAAATATCAAAAATATCAGCCAAAATAGTAGACTTTCAAGAATATTTTTATAAATATGTCAATTCTTCACCAAATTAAGCGTTCTTGGGTTCTTTTTGAAGCTAATATATACTGCAATAACATTGACTGAGACATATATGGATGGTTTTGCCTATATTCAAACAATTCTTTATTTTTTGGTCCTAACTGGTTAGTAACTGCAACTAACCAGTTTTGGTTGGTTATTTTCAGTCCAGTTAGGTTATTGTGGGTTTGGGAACAAAGGCTAACCAGTCTCGGTCTCGGTTAAAGCCCCTGGGCACCCAATAACCTAACCTAACCAGACTTTCAAACACTAGTTTTGCCAGCCACTCCCTCGCGAGCTTGAGCCCTTCCTTCTGTTTGTTTGTACACTGATCCTATTATATAATACATCAATTCTCGTCCCCTGCATAAATATGAAGGGGCTCTTGTGAGCGAGGCAAGCAGCTGGTTTCAGGAGCCTGGTTCTAACTCTACACTCGTGCCTTGCTTCGAGAGCGAACCTCAAACTTTGTCATGGAATCCGTCAAGGACTTAGCTTAACTGTCCAATCGTCCCTTGTTTAAGGTGTCACACATTCCAAATTCAGAACTTGCTCATTTTTTCGGATTCAACATTGCCTTCTCTTACTCAGAACAAACATCGCAAATTACTACCATCGGAGACTAGGTTTGAGTCTAGCAAAGAGTGCGCTGTTGAAATGCTTAGGTCGTCGTGAGCACTCGGGTTGAATAGGTACCATCGCAAACGCGCGAGGTCTTCTTGAATTCAAGTAATTGTCGGAGATTTAATTCTTTCGTCACAACCAGCTGAGATTGGGACGGCATTGAATCGGCGTTCTAACCGGCGCTAACTGTTGAAAGTTGCCCATTTTTCTGTTTTTTAGCCCAACATTGGCTACAATCGTGCAACAATCGCGTCACAAGCTCCGTTGCGACCAGTTGCCACCCTGGATGGGACCAAAATTGTGACTAAAAACTCTTTGGTTGGTTCTGTTTATAACGGCCATTTTGATAGGAACGTCCACAACAAGGTTGTGATGCCTAATTAGAAAACTCCGACAATTAGCTACCTAAATTAATCTTCACGAACGTGACCTGCTTGTAATTCCAACATGCGCCTCATCCTCATTTCTACCTTCTTTGCTCAAAACTCAAGTTCCAACCAGCCTGCACTCCAACTGCATTCTCTCAGCCTCCGCCTACTAACCGAAACACCCATCCAAGTAACACCCCATTACTATTATAGAGCACCAAACTTTTCCCTGAATCTTCGCTGCCGTCGTCGTTCGCAATGTCTGCCCTATCTTACAAGAAGGAAAAGAACACCGTACTATACAACAACCCCTCCCTCTCCACATCTCTAACACCACCCCCTTATATCCTTCTGCAATGTATCATATCACCCAACCTACCGAGGCCCATATTCCCCAGGCGGCGGCTGACCCGGGTTCTGACCCCAATACTGCTGGCGAGGAGCCACCCCCGGATGATATGAATTCTCGAACGCCTGCGCCGGCGTATATTGCAACGTCCCCGTATTACCATACTGACCCTGACCACCATATCCCGTAGCCGATCCACGCTGGAAAATATCAGGCTGAGGCTGATAATAGAACCCGTCCCCTGGCAGCTGGGGTCGTTGTCCGTATCCTTCTTGCTGCTGCTGTTGTTGAGGTTGGTGCGGCGGCTGAAAAGGTGACTGGACAGGCGAAACAGCTGAAGGCAATGTGGGACGAGGCGGCGGTGGGTGTCGGCGATCAAGGGAGTCGGCAATGGTCGGTAGCCGTCCTTGTAACAAATTCTGTCCCAATGGTGGCGGTAGTGCACCCTGTGGTTGTGGTGGTACACCCTGCCCCGACGGTGGATGGGGTGGTACACTCTGCCCAACCGGTGGTTGTGGTGGCACACTCTGCCCAAACGGTGGATGCGGTGGTACACTCTGCCACGGTGTTTGTGGTGGTACACTCTGCCGACGAGTCGGAGTATAAATCTCCGTTGAAAGGAACCCCCCCAAATTCGCATACGGGTCCTGGCCCGGCTGAGACATGCTAGAAAACGAAGGTGCAGTGGGAGGAGGGGGGAAGAAACTCGATCTAGGCGGGGAAGAAGGTGGCGGTGGGAGGGTAGGCTTATGAGGTGGGTATTGTGTGTGTGGTGAAGGGCCAGGTGGTGAGGAGACGCCATACGGAGCAGGAGGCTGCTGATGCAGTGGGCTTGCGTACGAGTTCCTGTTTGATACTTGGGGAGGAGGTGGGGAAGACAGTGTAGCACCATTATTTTGCCACTGTTGCTGTGCTTGTTGTGGAGACCCTCGCCCCAAATTCATAGCATCAAACGCGCCATCTAAAGTATAGGCTTTGAACGGCGGTGGTGGGAGTAGAGGGGGTTTCGCAGCGAGTGGTGGAGGCGGTGAAGCGGCCGCTACTGCTGACAACCTCTTCTCTGCCTCCAGTTTCCCCACCAACGCCTGACGTTCGTTAGTCCGTTCAGAAACGAAGGACCGAGTCGCACTGCCCAATTTCACCGTCAACTCTGTCAGGTCCGTGTAGAATTGAAGTCCTTTCCTACAACCCCGTTCCATCATCAGTATTTTGGAAGCTTCGAAGGGAAAAAGGGAAAAAGGTACTCACGCCAACCCATCCCTAACCTCCATATACCCATCCCTCGCCTTCCCAAACCGCTTAACGGTCTCCACCTTCCTCTTCTCCCTCTCCTCCCACTTCCTTGCGCCTGCCCCACGTCCAGCCAGCTCCTTGAGCCCTTTCCATAAGGTGGTCACCTCTGAAAGAGCAACATCTTGGTGATGTACGGTCGACGCAAGTCTTTGCTGGTACGGTCTAAACTTTTCCAGCTCGGCTGCAAATAACGCAGGCTCTACGCCTGTGTTCCTGCGGTTTAGGAGGAGGAGATGGGAGACGTCGTCTGATTGGACCTACACAAACGACATGAGCAATGAAAAAGGACGAAGGACAGGCAAAGAGCAATACTTTATCCTTCAGATCCTTCAAAACCTCATTCCTCTCTTTTGAAATCATCGCCAGCCTCCCTAACCTCTCTTCAATCTCCACAACATACCCCTTTATCTTCTGTCGTTCCTTCGCATCGTCATTCTCACTACCCACATCCAGATCCAACAAATGTCCCGTGGTCGACCCCGCCCTTTCATGGAACACCTGCTCCACGTTCGGACTGAGCAAGAGCTTAATATCGCCCCTCACAGAATCCCATAACACCTGTACCTGCGCGTCGCTCGCTGCTGCCGCTTCCAGTGCAGAAAGATGGGATTTCAAGTCTTGCCTGAGAGATTTGGACGGGCCAGCACTAGGATCTTGCGTCCATAGATGTTGGTACTTCACCCTCATCGCCTCACATTCCCTACTCTCAATCTCCAACTCCCTCTCTACTCCATGTAAATCACGGCTCACGTTCTCCTTGAGCCTCGTCAGCTGCTTCATGATGACATCCACCCCATCGCGTTCCTCAATCCTCGCAATGTCTTCCTTCCACCGTCGTACATCCAAAGGAACCTCTTCCCCACCGTCCAACGTCCCCTCAGCCATAGCTTTATACCTCACCAATCCCTCTTTCACTCCAAGCCCCTCAAGCGCACTCCTCGCCAACACCTCTGCACTCTCTGCGTTCTCCACTTCCGCACGGACAAGCTTGGCCTTTTCCTCAGAATACACACTGGCGCTCTCATGCACGCTCAGCGGAACAAGCCTGATAAAAAAGTCCTGCCCAATCGTCTTCTGCACATCAGGAGCGCCGTACACGTCATGTATATGTATCGGCGTAGCCACCACCAACTTATCAATCGCCGCCAACGCCTCAGGGACGGGTATGACGGCGTTGTAAATCATATCGTTCTCCCGCTGACCTTCGTTTTTTCGGTCCGTACACATGACGAGGTGGGTTTTGGCTTTCTCGAGCATGGATGACCCAGAGTCCGGGGGAAGGTTTGGGGAGAGGTTGGATACGAAGGAGGTGGAGAAGGCGGTGGAGGATTTGTGGGCTTCTTTTGCGAGGGATTCGGAGAGTGTAAATCGGGCGAGGGCGTCTCCGTGTTTGGAGGCTACGTTGTCGACTAGGCCACGGTGGTATTGGGCTAGGGAGGAGTAGAATTTTGATTTGATCTGATACTACAGTTAGTAAATTATGAGGATGAGAGGGGGAGAGAGCTTGCTTGGATGAGCGTAACCCAGTTCCTATCGAATATGCCTTTCCCCATGAACTCCTTGACTTGCTCATTAAGCGAGGTATACATCCCCGCAGCCTGGGCTGCGATCTTGGACACCAACGCGCTACCCTTCTTGTCGTCCATCGTCTTCTCAAGGAACACCTCGGTCGCCTGGGCGAGTACGAGTTCAATCAAAAACTTGACCACCTCCCTACTCAAATCCGTACTCGGCGCATGCAAGAAGTTCTCGTTGATATAACTCAGCATCCCAGCACACGTCCGGAAGTAGTTGAACGCGCGCTTCAAACCCTCAGGGTCACTCCTGCTCTGAGAGGTGGCGATGGCAGAGTGGGTCACGGCGATCTGGAAGAGGATAGACGCTTTTTCATAAGCTATGGATGTTTGGGTTATGAGTTTCGAAGTGAACGCGTCGTGCCAGGGGAAGTTTACGCGGATTTCGGAGAACCGGAGCTCGAGGAGCTCGAGCTGACCAAAGTATTTGTAGAGTAGGTCCCGAGCTGTTTGAAGAAGTTGGGCGTTTAATTTAATTGATTGATTGAGTGATGAACAAGTCGGGGGTGTATCGTACCGGTCATGTCGCTCCCTGCACCACGAACGGCGTCCTGACGACACCGTTGGAGTGCGGCACATTCAGCTGCATAGTTGTCTGGACTCTCTCCGTATGACTGTGCAATGGTATTTCGGATGGGCGTTGTCCAGTCGACTTCCTCAGTAGTCTTCTTTGGAATTGATATCATGGGCGTTTGTGCCATGATTGTAGCGAGCCTCGAGGACTCTTTGAGAGAGATTGGTAGGGGTTGAAGACAAGGATTGTATCGATGATTGCGCAGTTAGCCAAGATTGGATTAACCTCCCTCAGTCAGTTTGGCTGTGCCGGGCGTTCAAAACACAGCTCAACGGTTACTTCCGGTCTCTCCTCCTCCACACAACCAAAAAATGTCTGCGTCAAAGCCAGCGTCTAGTGAGGATATCCTAGGTCAAAAGGTCTGTTCCTCGTTGTGGTTTTTCTTGTTCCTTGGTTGACAAACCGATAGTATGATCGCTGCTGTGGGTCTATCCATGTCTGTCCCAATACAACAAACTAATCGATTCCCGAACTAGTGGCTGACCTCCTCGTCAAGGCGTACGTCTCCCTCTTTACCTACACCCCAGCTAATTACTCACACCACACACAGGGGAGTAGGCTTTGGCGTAGGCGTCGTAGCATCCGTCATTTTCTTCCGCCGTTCGTCCTCTTTCCCCCTCCTGCTACATCGTTTCTGGTCTCACCTTTTCATAGGACGGACATGGCCAGTCGCACTATCTACAGGTTTCGGCTCGGGTGCCGCATACGCGGACTGCGACCGCTCTTTCAACCCCGCCAGGATACCCGGCACGCGCATCATCTCACCCGAAGAAGTGAAAGCCACTTTTGATTCGACGACGACGAGCAAGTGATGAAAGGTGTAGGAAACAAGGTGCATATATACACGCGGCAGGTATAGGTCATACACGCAGGGGATGGGCATTGGGCATGCCGTCGTAGACTCGAGGGCTACTAGAAATGACGAGTTTAGTCTTTCCAAAATCATAGAACTTTTCCATCCTTCGCGTCAGCTGTCCACTTTGTCCTTCCTCCTCGGCTCCGGATCACCCAGTCTGATAGTACTGTTCTCCGCATCCAACGCCTTTGGTAATTTCCGTTGTGGTTCGCCCAGAACGTGTCTTTTGTACAAGACCACTTTGAGATCATGATGAGAGTTGTGAATATGGAAGGAGAAGAAAGGGCTGACCAGAAGTGGCTACCATGATAGGTACAGACCATATTATGGTGCGTATTCTACGTTGTTGTAGAGTGAGCTTCGCCATGGCGGTCGACGGCAGGTTTGTGACGGAAGAATCCATAACGTGACACGGCGACGCCCTCCCTCCGAGTCCTCACAACAGCGTTGTGCCTACGTTCAATGACTACGCTATTGGCATTCTCCTTAGATGAACTACAAAAATTTCTTAAGCTAAAACCCCACCATCATACACATCGTTCCTAGAACCACCCAACGCCGACTGGGACGACGACGACGTGTCCGGTGCCGGTTGACTTTACGATGCGTAACTGCCTCGCCATGATCCACGGGCCACCATACGACCATCCCATCGGCTACTCGACTTGGAGAGTAGATGTTAACGAAAGTTCAAGGCCTTCATTCACGAGGCAATCCAATTCTTCTTGTATATCCGGGCTGATGACAAGTCTAGACGCGGTCACCACAGTCACTGATTGAATCCGGGATACAGTCGCTCGTTTTGAGTCCACTTCGGCTGGTCGCAAAGCGCACTGTCGGAACCTGTACACAAGCATATCGCGGAACATATGCATGTGTTCGTCAAATGTACTAGGGCCACAGTACGTGAAGCTACGCAGATTCGGAAGAAGAATATCTGCATGGGGCGGGTAGAGTCGTTGGAGAAGCTTTTCTGTGAGTAGCGGACATAGATGTGGGTGATACTCGCCAGAATCGAGGCTTAATTCCTTTGTAGATGGGATATACCTCAAAACCTGAATTAATTCATCGTCGGAAGTAATTGAACCTGTAAAGGTGAATGTTTCCAAGAGATGCGAGGAGCAAAATGATATCATAATTGCAGGCAATATGGCTAGCGATGAGTAGTCAAGATGACTGGTGAGATTGACCTCACGAAGGGCAGGGAGTTCGACCGACTCTAAAAGTCGAGTTATCCCGACCCCCTCTGAAACAACCTGGAGCTCGAGATACTCCAGACGTTCCAACACGAGGGGCCTCACAAACGTGTCTTGCGGTTCGCCCTGGATGGATTCGGACCCATCATCGTCGACTGTGCAGCGAATAACATTAGGCGCCTTTTGGAGAAATCCTCGAACGTCATCCAGTGAAATAGTGAACGAAGTGAAATCCTTTATTTGGTGCCACGGAGCCAAGACATTGGCCAGGCGGTTATTGTCAATACAAAGCGTTGAGAGCTGTGGGGCCACTGAGAATAGATTGAACGGTCGTTCTCCTGAATCAAAATCAAAATCAACAGTAGCGTCGGTGAGAAGAGGAAGGGAATTTTCAGCCGTGGAGATGGCATCAAAACAAACTTGGCTGTTGGGGAGGAAGAACTCGACCTCTTTCCATTGCGTGGACACGGACGCTAACATGGTCAAGATTTGTTTGAAAGAGCTCCCCCCGTTCCAGTGATGCCGGCTATGACTCCATTCCAACGCAAGACAAAAGGTAAGGGGACACCCCGCAGTTCTAGAGAGCCAGTCCCTGAGAAGATTGGCTTGAACTTTGCGATTTTTTTTCGTTACTTCGAGGTGTATGTTCGTCCAAAGCACGGGAGACGACCACACAAAGTCCCTCCAACCTCGGCAAATTTTACCTAAAAAAAAAGGATTCCTGCATACACTGTAGAAAATTTCAGTCTTAACCTCCGCTGGAAGTTGATCGATTGGTGATAGAGCATTCAGTTGTGTGTCCAATCGTCGACGTTCCTGTTCTTGTTCAAGCAAAAAGGCCTGCTTCTGTGCTATTTGAGCCCGCGTATCCTCCATTTCTGATTCTAACGCTGCGACTTGTTGAAGTAAAGCGTTCTGAGCCGTCTCATTCTCAGAACGATGGCAACCCTGATCCGGCATATTTCTGGCATCTCTTCAGATCGTTTCATCGACCTGGACGAGGCATACATGCTCACCTTAATATGTAACTGCGTACTCAAGGATGATGAGAATGGATCAATATGATCAGGAGGGCTTTGCGCATGAAGCTTCAACTTTCTATGCTCCGAGTGAGGTGAGAAATGGCTGAGAGAGTGTTCACGCGAGAGCCCAAAGTTGGAGACAAACAATCGTGTTTGGTCGCCCAAGCTCTCTCCCACGCAATGGGAGGGCCGAGCTCAAGCCGGCACAGGCGAATAGTAGTACTCGTCCCTGTCAAAAGTATGGAAACACATTGAAATAGTCGTCATAATGGCGGGTTCCAAGGGTAAGGAGGCATTTCGTAGGCCTCTGCGCCAACTCAAAACTCCGCCAGGAAAAGATTCAGCTCCACAGAGTCTTTTCCCCTTGAGCCCCGCTCATCAACCATGGTTGCGACATCGATCCCTGACTCAGTGCCAAAGTTTGGCAGATCCTGGGTTAGGAGAAGTCATCGATGTCGCTTCCCTCTCCTGTGCTGGCCCTCTCTCTCAGACCACGTCTACCCAGCACAGGTAAGCGCTCCGCGCTCTCTTTTTTATGCGCCGCATACTCATCCAAATGTCAGTGATCTCCACACCTAGGCTCCGCCTATCGTTTACTACAAACGCTCTCCAATCACTGCGCATTTGGTGAGGCTTTCGTCATATTGAGCGTCATCCTCATTCTTACATCCCTCTAGTTCAGACTTCATCTGCTAGATTGTAAGAAGCATTGTAAGGCCTCGTTCAGCTCAATACTCACGTATCGTGCCTCTCGCAGAATCTCTTCAGATTTTCTTTGGTATACTGCTCGCTTCCCTCGCCATCCAACCTCCTTTCCTAAGTCACACCTCGCCCTCGACCCCCTCATCTGACATTTCCTCTCGATGACCGATGTTACTGCCGAAGCAACCCAGCAACGTGCTCAAGCTCTTGAGGGTGTCGTTTCCGACGTCGTGGAAGGGCGATTACCCCTTTCGGAGTTCGCTAAACGTCTTCAAGATGCAGGCGCTTCTCCAGCTGAAGGCGAGGACTACCTTCAGCAACTTACCCAACGTCTGGAGCAGCAAAAGAAAGACAGAGAGGCTGACCAACAGCCAGACACTCAGTCTGGTGAACAAGCAGTCCGAGAATCGACTCCTGAAGGTCTTGACGAGGCTCAGGCAGTCGAATTTCGAGCTCGGCGCGAAGCACTCCTGGAGGAGGTACGCATCCGCGAAGCCGCTGATCGTCGCACAGCAGTCGACACCGCAGCATGGGCCGTCCTCAATGCCAAGCTCTCCCGCTTGGCAAGCTCACAGGTCCACGACGATGCTACAACTCTTCTCTCAACCGACGATCTCGCAAAATTACTCGGAGTCGAATGCTCGTCTTCCCAGTCCTTACCCGCTACTGTGCTCGCTCTTGCCCTGCATCTGGCCGAGCTTTCGACTTCAGCCATATCCGATCCCCACATCGAGGAGACCTGGAAATTATGGCAGGCGATCGGTACAGACAAGACAATCGACTCCCTTGTCAACCTTATGCAAGTACAGCCGCTTGCTGATCCCGTCCCCCGCTCTATCTGGCGCTCAGTTATTCAGGATCACTTTGTTGACTTTGAGAAACTCTTTGCCTCGATGGACAAAGGGTACGACCACAACGACGAGCCTCGGGACTTTGGAGGAGGCTATGCACTTGTCAAGAAGGATTAAGCTTCGGCTAAGCGCTCCCTTCGATCCGAATCCGAATGGCTCCGCGTATTCGGAGCTTGGAGCTCAGCCGTTGTTCTGGTTTATCGTCACCGTTCTTCGGAACTCCAAAGTTATCAACGTATGGTCACTGATCTCTTTCGTGCAGTACCTCATGACCCGTCGATTGCCATCGCTTTCGATGTCGAAGCTCGGGATCGCTATGCGAAGAGTCCTTTTCGCATGGACGATCGGTCTCAGCTTAACGTGCCACTTCTTGCACGCATGTTCCAGAGCGCTAGCCCATCTCCCAAGAAGCGCAGCAACCCATCGCCTTCTTCAAGCTCTCCTTCGAAGCGCTCGTCGACTCCTTGCAGGAATTGGAACATGGGCATTTGCGACGCCCCTTGCCCGAATGGGCGCAGGCATGGGAATTGCAGCGAGTGCGAAGGCCAACATCGAGCAAAAGACGAACCCGTCTGCAACACTCTCCTCCAAGCTCGACAAAGAAAGGGAGTTAGCAGAGGCTACCCAGAGAGCAGCAAAGGCAAGGGAAGGGCCTAGGACTATCAGCTCAGGGTTGAAGCGAAAGCTGGATACCCCCCTCATAGATGTACCTCGCTTCCGACGTCAATACGTATGGTCTAACTCAACTAATAAACACCTTTCCCCTGCTGCCCTTTACACCGAGTCCGCGCCTCCTCTCCCTTCACCACCTGCTCATCTTTTGCAAGACCAGAAGATCCAAGCTTCCCTCCTCGCTATGCGAGATCACATCAAAGTCGACACACCTTTCAACGTCGATAAATTCGAGTCTATGCTCACTGATCATCCAAATCAACCTTTCGTCCAATCGGTCATGACAGGCCTTCGAGACGGATTCTGGCCTCTCGATGATGGAGAATGGAAGGTCGAACTGGAAGAAGTCATCGACAATTATTCCACAGATGAAGGTGATCTCGATGCCATCCGCAACTTTCGGGACAAAGAAAGATCGGCTGGCCGTTGGTCCAATGAGCTCTCAGACTCAGAACTCCTGCCAGGGATGAAGATGTCCCCCATGTTCGTCGTTTGGCAGAATGGCAAAGCTCAGGTCGTCACTGACCACTCAGGCTCTGGGATAAACGATGGCATTCCAAGATCTGAAGCTAAGGTTCGCTATGATGACATGCACCCTTTTGGCCAATCTCTTCGCGATGCCCACACAGACAACCCAGGTCGTCGAATCATAACCTTCAAGTCAGATGTTGCATCTGCATTTCTTAACCTGCCAGCACACCCTCTATGGCAACTTCGTCAAGTTGTTGTAGTTGAGGGTAAGCTCTACATTGTCCGCCGTCTAGTCTTCGGAAAACGTGCATCTCCACGTTGCTGGTGCGCTGTCTCTGGGCTTTTGTGCTGGCTGGCTATTCGGAAATTGGGCATCTTCAGCCTTCACGTCTACATGGACGACTTCTTCGGCTGGGACTTCGAAGACAATTTGATCATGTATCATGGGAAGCTCCGCCCCCGACAACAAGTTCAACTTCTTTTATTTTGGGAAGCGATCCAGTGCCCTTTCGAGGATAAAAAGCAAGAACACGGGGATGTCCTGAAGATCATCGGTTTCTGGGTCGACGCTAACCAAGGCTCCCTGTCTCTTCCGACTGGTAGCTACCACTTACATCATGTACTCCTGAGCTGTACCATAGAAGTTCCTGCTTAGCTACCGTGAATGAAATGAAATGAATTTTCATTCATTCACGGCACCTGTTTCATTCTAGATAATTTATTCTGTTTCATTCATTCCTGGCGACTGTTTCATTTTTTTCTTTCATTCCACCAGGGCAACTGTTTCATTCCTTGCTTCATTCTTCTCAGGTGCCTATTTCATTGTTAGAGCTGGGAAAATGATTATGTAATTGATACAAAATATTTAAGTGCCTTATTTGGCAACAGCATGCCTATCTCATTGTGTATTTGAGCCTCAAATGCAAAAGTACCCCCATATGGCCTCCCACACCACTGCAGTAGGGCACAACACATATCAGGCATAATTGTATATTATTTCCTTATTTAGATGTGTGTTAAAACATCGAAATTGTTGCGTGAAAGAATGAAACAAAAATGAAATAACTGCCTGGAAAGAATGAAATGAAAATTCCATGGCAATGAATGAATGAAAAAAATGAAACAGTTGCCAGGAATGAATGAAACGAAAGAATAAAGCAAAAAATGAAACAGTTGCCATGGTGGAATGAAATTAAAAAAATGAAAGAGTCGCCAGGCATGAATGAAACAGAATAAATTGCATTCTTGTCAGTAGAAATGAAGAAAAAATTGAGATGAAATGAAATGAAACAAAAAGTATTTCATTCTCGACGGCAATGAATGAGAATGACTTGGAATGAAACAGGTGCCGTGAATGAATGAAAATTCATTTCATTTCATTCACGGTAGTTAAGCAGGAACTTCTATGGTACATGCCAGGTTTTACATGATGTAAATGGCAGCTACTAGTGCTCTTCCTCCGAGCTCCCTTGTTGATATTGTCGACAAAATCAATGTCTTCCTCTCTACACCCAACCGAAAGCCCATTCTTCGTGAATGGCAACGTCTAGCTGGTCACCTCAATTGGCTTCTAAATGTTCTACCATGGGCTCATCCTGCTCTCTCAGCCCTCTACCACAAGACCAGTGGAAAATCTCGGCCTCTTGGCGCTGTACACCTCAATGCTGAAGTTGTATCTGACCTCACCTGGCTTGTCAGCATCATCCCCAAAGCAGTTGGTGTTCGCTTCTTAGATGATGGTATTTGGGACGACTCTGCAGCTGATCTTGAGGTGTGGACTGATGCAAGTCTAACTCTCGGCATGTCCTTCGTATATGGGAATCAAGGCTTCATGTACGGGCTCAAGGAATGTCCCCCTGGTCTGAAGATCGACATCTTCTTCCTGGAACTAGTGGCCATTATGTCCGCCATCCACCATGTCGCCTCTTTTGCCTCACCTCCTCGCCGTCTTCTCATTCACACTGATAGCCTGGACTCAGTCGCCATCTTCAACAGCTTACATGTTTCTGAAGCGTTGCACAATGGTCCGCTAATGGCTATAGCCGGCGTCATCATTGAGTCAGGCATCGATCTCCGTGTTTGACACATCCCTGGTAAGCAGAATGTCCGAGCCGACCTCCTTTCACGTCTTTTGCTTGATGAATATCGTGCAAAATTCCCTTTTGACCACGTCCGCCTTTTCTCCCCACCACGGGACCTCCTGCCGGCGCGATGGAGGGCGTGCTTTTAAGCGCCCTGGGCGGGTCTAGGCCTTTACGCCGGACTCGCCCACCAATGAAGCTACGTGATCTCGACAATCGCGTGCTTCATTTACAGGTCAACGCTATCGAAAAATCAACAGCAAAAGGCTACGCAACAGGAGCTCGAGACTACATTTCTTTCTGCATGAACCATCACCTGTCCATTGAACCCACCCCCGAGACCTTAGCTCGTTACATCGCCTACACCTCCCAATTCATCGCCTCTGGCCCAAAATATCTCTCAGGGGTCAGACATTTTCTATCTGACTTATATCCTAACTTCGACGCTAATCGCGCCCACCCACTCGTCACAACTACTATTCGAGGATCCAAGAAAATCCGCGCAGACCCTATCCGTCGTAAGTTGCCTCTGCGTCCTGCACACTTACAAACTTTTCTACATATTGCCCGTGGGTCTGGGTCTTATGATGATCTCCTCTTTGCAACCATACTTTCTTGCCTCTTCTATGTGTGCCACCGCTCTGGTGAACTGGTCCAGAAGAATTCAAAAGACATTTTCGATTGGAGGAAGATCATCAAACGCTCCTCCCTCACTTTTTCTCAAGGACGGGCCCAGTATCACCTTCCTTATCACAAGGGAGATCTGTTCTACCATGGTACTGACATCTTGTTCTCACAACAGGAAGTCGCCGACCCCGTCTCGCTTCTCAGAGAATATGTGGACCGACGTGATTCCGTTCACCAAGCCCGCCTTGCTCTCTTTCTACGAGAGGACGGCTCTCACCCTACTCGCTCATGGTTCGATGCTCGCTTCTTCACTGTGCTCAGTCGCGAATTTGGCGGACACTCAGCACGTGCAGGGGGTGCCACATTCTATGCCAGCCTTGGTCTATCTGAGGACGTAATACAAGCCATTGGTCGCTGGTCCTCTATAGCATGGAAGATCTACATAAGAGACAATCCCACTGTTCGTGCTGAACAGCAGTTGGCCGCCATCGGACTCTGTCTAAGGCGCTGTTAACAAATTTCTACGCTTCCCGCTTCCATCATCTCTCACCACCACCACCCCACAACAACATCAACACCACTTCACTAGCCTACACTCCCCAGCCTATAAATTTTGGGGCTCGCCTTGCTTCGGCGACCCCTTGTTGCTGCTACCATCACCTCGTGATCTCTCCACCTTTGAACAGCGCAGCAGAGGTCGTCGTAATGGCGGGTTCCAAGGGTAAGGAGGCATTTCGTAGGCCTCTGCGCCAACTCAAAACTCCGCCAGGAAAAGATTCAGCTCCACAGAGTCTTTTCCCCTTGAGCCCCGCTCATCAACCATGGTTGCGACATCGATCCCTGACTCAGTGCCAAAGTTTGGCAGATCCTGGGTTAGGAGAAGTCATCGATGTCGCTTCCCTCTCCTGTGCTGGCCCTCTCTCTCAGACCACGTCTACCCAGCACAGGTAAGCGCTCCGCGCTCTCTTTTTTATGCGCCGCATACTCATCCAAATGTCAGTGATCTCCACACCTAGGCTCCGCCTATCGTTTACTACAAACGCTCTCCAATCACTGCGCATTTGGTGAGGCTTTCGTCATATTGAGCGTCATCCTCATTCTTACATCCCTCTAGTTCAGACTTCATCTGCTAGATTGTAAGAAGCATTGTAAGGCCTCGTTCAGCTCAATACTCATGTATCGTGCCTCTCGCAGAATCTCTTCAGATTTTCTTTGGCCCTCCCTCCACTCCCTCTTCTTGTTTTCTTTTAAAATGGACTATATTCTATTGTACTTGTATTGACATTGGACATTTGTATGTGTAGTGTAGCCTACACTCCCCAGCCTATAAATTTTGGGGCTGGCCTTGCTTCGGTGACCCCTTGTTGCTGCTACCATCACCTTGTGATCTCTCCACCTTTGAACAGCGCAGCAGAGGCTTGTTCTCACTCAAATCAGCACCAAATGGCTCCAAATAAGTTGTAGACATAAAAATTAGGGTTATTGGGTCCTGAATCTGAGGGTAGAAATTTACCAAATAAGGAAATATGATAGATATTGTCTCTACAGTAGATGCTGCAGAATACAAGCATGCTAGGAGATTTTTTGTAGCAAGATTTATGTGCACCACTCAAAAGGGGTTAAAAAATAGAGTATAATCCAAGTACAATCCATCTTTGGTTCATGCAATTTGGTCAAGATTTGAGCTTACAATTGTCTCCTCAAACCTGTGAAAATCAGGGAAGATTGCCTGAAATCCTGGATCTTTACACTTTCTGCCTTGTTGACAATGGCCAGTTTTCCTGCTGGATTCTCTGCACCTAATGAGGCCAAAACTTTCATGTCAGGCGGCGAATTTATTGGTGGCCAAGGGTTGGTCCAGGTCAGTCTGGAGTTACAGTTTTGCATCCTGCCTTGTCCTAATTATTTCAAAAGCTTGTCTTGTACTCTGAAAGTCCTGTTGGTATGTCAAACCTTCATTCTCAGATATTATGTGTTGACCTGTTCATTGCCTTCAGAACACATAGGTCCATGTATGCTGCCGCGCCAAATTTTGCTGCCATATTCAGGCTGAAACCTATTTGCAGATGACAAGTTGATGTACATTCCTGGACAATGGAAATACCCTGATGGAAGGATGGGATTTTGTATTACTTGCATTTGCGTTTTGATGAAGGAGTCAACTGAAAATGGTGCGTCAAGTATACAATCCTTCCAACAAATCTAGAAACTTATCTTGAGACCACTCAAGGATGCAAAAATTGGAACATACCAAGTCAGCTTGTGTTCACCGTACTTGCCCAGTTTTTTGTGCACTGAAGTGTCTTGTCATTTCGCAGAGCAGGTTGCAGACTTTGACTTCTGAACGGAATTGAACAGCACCACAAACTTCTCTGTCACCCACCCAGGCACTTCTTCATAGTGTTTAAAGGTTCAGTCCATAGGACTGCAAAAAACCGGTGGACCGAACGGAACTGGACCATGGTCCAGTCTTTTTTTCGGTTGCAGTTGCCCAAATTTGGAGCTGATCCGGTTGCCGGTTGCCTCATTTCAAAAATATTTTAAAACCGTTCAAAGACCAGTATAAATCGGTTGCAACCGGTTAAATGGTCACGTGCGTTACATAGCATTGTAACCACATTTATTACCTTTAATTGGGTTTTTGGTTCATTGAAAACGGTTAAGAACTGAGAAAGATATAACCAAATCCATTTTGGTATAAATACTTGTTTGTGCAACTTGTACCAGGATGACTTTAATTCTAACTCACTCAAATTTTCATCATTTTGCTTGATTCAATTTTTGGATATTGAAACTATAAATATGAAAATATGCTCACCATCTATCAATGTATGGTATGCATCAAATAATCTACAGTTGCCACATTAAATTTTGCCTGAGTCTTGAGGAGATGTAATTCGGTTTCAGTCATAGCTATGTCAGATCTTCATTAAATCTCTTAAAAATTGGTAGAGCGACAGGTATTTACATGCTTTACTATGCTATATAACCCGTTTATTTTTCAGAGTCATAATGGTTGAGATATAAATGGTTTATACTGGTACAATGAATTATACGCAAAAAAACCGGTCTGGATCGGTCTGAACCAGTATCATGGACCACAAAAGACCGGTCCTAGGTGGTTCGGTTCGGTTCCCTCACTATCTGGGTCAGTCCTGGACCAGTTGCAGTCCACGGTTGCATGTTTTTGGGGCAAAAAACTGGACTGAACTGAACCTTTAAACACTACTTCTTCACCTTTCTTCCAGGCGAGCATATCACTGATCTCAGTGTTCTCATTACTCTGGATACCATTCACAATGACGAACCTGGGTAATTTTTTTTAGTTTGGCCCAACCACCACTTCCAGCCAGTGACCAACCTGAAGAAGTTGGGCACCTCACAATGGGCAGTGCTCACCCCTGTCATGAAGGGTTCGCTCCATGTTGTTCGTGTTACACCAGGGTTGAATGGAAAGGTTGGGGATGGTGTTGGATTTCCTGCTGTTGTTCCTTGGTCTGTTGGAACTGCCTGGGAGAATGTTGAACTTGATTTTGGTGTTCCAACTTTGTTGGAATTTCGGGAGCTTTACAAGCATGTGCAATGCGCCCCATCTTCGGATTTCACTTGATTTCAGGTACATTTCTTCCATTGATTGTTTCCGTGCATTCTTAGGGGTGTTTTGCATTTATCCCCTTATATTTTGTAGTCTACAATATATATACAAAGTCTTGTACTGTAGTTACCCATCTGTTTGCCTCTGTCACCCAGAGACAACCGGAATATTATTCCCCACCTTGCCTTGATCACACACGCTTGCTGAGTCGATTTCAACAAACTTTATTTGATGTGGTTTGATACTGGCTTGACTTTTCTGTTGTACTCTCTATGATGTCTTTGTTCATCCTTTGGTTTCCCTCTCCCAGAACAATCCGTATTCTACAGTCCACCTTGGAGATGACTCTGATTAGCTATTTTCACTTCATGAAAATTTTAACATTTAGCTGTCACATTGAATTATTCATCAAGATATCGATAAATTGAGAACTAGTAGCGAAATAAAGAAACAATCTGAGTACAACACCTCCAGTGCCCTGGATGTCATTGTTGAATAACAGATACTTACTTGTTACAGAACCTCTCAAGATACAAGAACACCTTATTTGTTGAAGTAAAGTGTTCTGAGGGATCTCATTCAATGTGCCTATGTTCACAACTCGTTGAACTTGTTCAATCATGACTACGCTAGTGCCAGCATCAGTGGCATTCTCCTTAAATGAACTACAAAATTTTCATAAGCCCAACGTAAGCCAAGACCCCACCATCATGCTACATGGCAAGACAGTCACACTGTCAGTGATAAACATTTAGTTTCTGCAGAGTTATTGAGGAACTACATTTGGAAGTGTCTACTTCATCATATTGGAATGGAGAGTGAGTAAGGAGGAACAGAGGGAGCATTTCAACATCAGCAGCGAAAATGGAAGAATTCACCCAACGCCAACTTGGGCGATGATGTGTCCATTGGCAGTTGGATGTACAATGCACAACTGTGTCGTTATGACCCACCATATCCAACCATCCCATCAGCTACCCCAAGGCTACCCAGTGGATGTTAATGAAATTTCAAGGCCTTCTAATTCTTCTCGTATATCCAGACTGATGGCAACTCTGCATCATGATGAGGTCTTCACAGTCACTGATTGAATCTGGGAAACAGTTGCTCATTTTGAGTCCACTTCGGCTGGTCGCAAAGTGCACTGTAGAACCTGTATACAAGCACATCATGTAACAAATGCATGTGTTCATTCAATGTACTAGGTCCAAAATACATGAGCCTTTGCAGATTCGGCAGAAGGGTATCTGCATTGGGTGGATAGAGTCGTTGGAGGAACCTTTCTGTGAATAGCGAATTGGACAGTGGATGATAAATTTTGAGGTGTAATTCCTTTGTAGATGGGATATACCCCAAAACCTGAATTAATTCATCATTGGAAGTAATTCCACCCATAACTCTAAGGGTGAATATTTCCAAAAGATGCGAGGAGCAAAATGATATCATAATTACAGGTAAGATGGCCATTGGCAATGAGGGGACAAAACAATTGCAGAGGTAGACCTCATGAAGGGAAGGTCAAGGGGGCTCTGGCATTGAAAAAAAGACCTGGAGTTGATTTTTTTTTCCCCTCAACTTTGGGTGGACTAACTAACTATGTAGTCAGGCAGATGTCCAAATATGGTAATATTAGTAATATTTTTACATCATCTTTGGCTTCGCTTGCCTTCCTACACACTGTGCAAACCCATGTTGAGGTGCCTGCAGTAGTTGGTTGAGCAGAATACTATGAAAATGCATACCCATCAACTTTCATAGCCATTCTTTCTACACAGCAGTGCATTGATGGTGCAATATGGCCAGTTTGACAGATAAAATTGTATATCATTAGAGTAACATATTTACCCTTTACACAAAGTGTTGAACCTGGTGCAATAAGGTGAGTAAGAGCTGCTGGATGCAGAAAACTGAGGATGGGGTTCAGGAGGTGACCAAAAATGTAACATTGCAACACAACCAAATAGCACTCCAGTTGTGCAATGTGCACACTGCACACTGCAAAGCAATATGCAAATCACTGTATATAGCAGCTATATGGTAGTGTGTAGCATAAGGACACTTAATGCAAATCTATATGATGTTCTGAAGCAATTCTGAGCTCTAGTTGTCAAGACCTCCTTTTTTTTTTTTTTTGGACCATCAGCTGGACTAACTAACTGGGTATAGGTCTGGCATTCTATTGCCGGAGCCCCCTTGGAGAAGGTAGCTTGACTGACTCTAATATTTGAGTTATCCTGACCCCAATTGGACCAATGCTGAGGTTGAGATGCTGCAGATATTCCAACATGAGGGGCCTCACAAACAAGTCTTGTGGTTGACCCTAGACAGATGACCCATCACAGTTGAGTGTGCAGCGAATGATATTGGGTGCCTTTTGAAGAAATTCATGAACTTCATGCAGTTGAATTCTATTATACGAAGTGAACTCCTTTAATTGGTGCCACGGAGCCAGGACATTGGCCAGACAGATATTGTAGATAGAAAGCATTGAGAGCTGTGGGCTGGCACTGAGAATAGATTGAACGGTAGTTCAACTTCTGATTCAAAATCAAAAGTAGCGGCAGTGAGAAGAGGAAAGGAATTTTCAGCTGTGGAGATGGCTTTGCTGTCGGGAAGGAAGAGCTCGACTTTTTTACATTGTGTGGACACAGACGCTAACAGGGTCAATATTTCTTTCAGTGTGCTCCCTCCCTTGAGTCCCTCCCCGGCTTTACCCCAAACAGACACAAGACAAAAGGTGAGGGGACACCCTGCAGTTCTGGACAACCAGTCCCGGAGAAGATTGGTTTTAGCCATGTAGTCATTTTTTGTTAGTTGGAGGTATATGTTCGTCCAAAACATGGGAGACAAGTCCCTCCAACTTCGGCAAATTTTACCTAGAACAAAAGAATTCTCCTCCACATAAGGTAGCGGGCACAACACACTGGAGAATATTTCACTCTTGATCTCCACTGGAAGTTGATCGATTCAAGGGGATAGAGAATTCAATTGTGAGTCCAATTGTCGACGTTGCTGTTCTTGTTCAAGCAAAAAAGCCTGCTTTTGGGCTATTTGGGCCCACGTGTCCTCCATTTCTCATTCTACCGCTCCGACTTGTTGAAGTAAAGCGTTCCGAGCAGTCTCATTTTCAGGACAATGGCAATCATGTTCTGGCATACTTCTGGCATCTATTCGAATCTTTTTCATTACTCTGGACGAGGCAGACGTACTCACCTTAATATGTAACTGCGTCAAGGAATAATGAGAAGCAAATGAGAAGAGGAGATATCGAGGGGGCTTTGCGCATGTTTGTTGAAAGACCCCCTTTCTGACGGAGCCCATGGCCAGGCCGAACCAAGCTCCGCCATTAACCTCGCTTCTGACTTACCAACCTAACACTTTTGTTACGCCTTATCAATCACCTTCTTTGCAGAAGCAAAAATGAGTGACGACATGTACTACTACTTATATTGGAGGGGAACTCCACACAGTGACATCTATACATGAAAACACAGAGGATTGATGGCTGACAAATTCAGCTTTATCTTACTAAGCACTTCACACCCTCACGAGACTTCTCAACATGGCTTCAGGCTGCTCCTGCCTCACTGTTCCACAAACCACCACGAACTCTGATACATTATTTTGTAAGATTCTGGATAACATTTTGATCATTATGGAAAGCCTTCAACTATTTTTAGACACCTTCAATTGACATTTTGTCCACTTGGATTGCTTCTGATCACTTTTGATGATAGGATTTCACAAGGTTTTGCTGATTGGTTAGTTGCTTCAATATGTGGATCTTTTTCTCTTTTTTTTGGTAATCAGAATATATGCTTCAGTTGTCCTTTTGGTCTTGATGTAGGATATTTCTTTTGCTCCCTGCCTTTATTACTTAACTATCATTTATTCCCTAGGGATTCTCCTCCTAATACTCCACAAAGGCATAGAAATATTGAGAGGGCAAGAGAGCGTCAAGAAAGGATGTTGGAAAGTCCTGAGCATAGGAGAACACCTCAAAATCCTGCTGTTGGTGGTGGTGTACCTTTTATTCTTCCTTTCCCTATTCCACCCCCTGTTGCTCCTCTTCAAATTCCTCAAGGTCCTGTAGGTGATGATCCATTTGTTGAGGTTCTATATAATGGTCAAATTCTTCACCTTACTCCTGGGATGGCTGCACAAGTGGGTAATTTGCAAAATCAGGTAGGTTGCAGAGTTATATCTCTTTTTCTAATATTTAATATATCTTTTAGGCTCATGCTGCCCCCCTTGCTGCCCCTCCACCTCTATTTCCACCTGCTGCTATGGTAGATGTGGTAAGAAAAACCATTAGGCTATTTTCCATCTGTCTAACAAGCTTTTTTCCAGAATATGGGGCATCCTAACCAAAATGGTATTCAGTATCCACACTTACCTGCTCATTTACAGGCATTACGCATGCGTGGAAATGAATTTACATTTCACTCAGCAGACTCTATTATGAGAGAAGGAGGTGTGGATGGTGAATTTGAATACCCAGTAGAATACCTCAATTCCATCAACCTTAGTGGAATGCCTCTAGCAAAATTGAAACTCAAGATAGGTGCACCAGTAATGATCCTTTGAAATATTGATCCAGCAAATGGACAATGCAATGGAACCCAGGCAATCCTCACCCGTGCCTCTTCCTGAGTTTTAGAAGTACGCATTCTGGGAGGAGAATTTGCAGGACACACAGCATTCATTCCCCCATAAGATTTGAGCCTTCAAATGGTGAACTTCCATTCCAGTTATGCAGAAGGCAATTTCCTGTTCGCCTGGCCTTTTGCATGACAATCAACAAATCTCAGGGACAGTCAGTGAAACATTTAGGACTGGATGTTCGGACCCCAGTATTTACACATGGACAACTTTATGTGGCTCTTTCACGTTGCACATCAAGCAACCGTATCAAAGTTCTCTTCAAAGATGGTTCACAACAAACTGTAACACAAAATGTAGTCTATCCAGAGGTATTATTAGATTGATGTAAATGGTAAAAGTACTGATAAATGTCACTTTATTTTGATTGAGATGTAAGAAGAGCCAGAATTGAACATGTGTACCAGAACTAGGATTAAACATGTGTACCAGGGGGTTCAGGGGGCGTGCCCCCGGCAAGCTGTGACCAGTGCTGGAGGAACGGCCGAGCGTTAGCGAGTGCCGTGCCGTAGGCACGGGTCTAAAGCTTGTTACATATAACGCTCTCATCAATCGCTTAGGCAGCTCGCACGGATGGTACGCATCAACTGGGTAACAGGTAGGGTAATCTACAACCGCGGCGTAACCGTCGAGTTCCCTGCAGCGGGCACATCACCCCCTGGAATCTTGACATCGCCACCAATTTTATCAACGACGTAGTAGCTGAAAAAAAGGATCTTAAATGATAGTGCGATCCCAACTTGCAGCGCTGCAAGCAAGATGATTATAAGGCGAGTGGCTTTTGCTTCGGCCTGAGGGGGCACATTAGTAAATTTTGAGTGGTATTGAGAGAAAGGAACGCACGGAAGCGAGGATGGGGTAAATGTTCGCCCCTAGGAAGTATCCTGAGAGACAGAGTGCGATTCCGACGAGTGTCCATCGCAGGATGGGAACGGGGATAACGCATAGCACCTATCATGGCTGATCATTGAATCTGCACCCTATAGAAAGCTAGGACGTCCTTACCGACACGGGGATCCATACAAATTGGCCGTACCCCCACACTGAAATCGCCTCCACCACACTCCATTCGCCGACACCCAGATACCTAAGCCCCAACCAAAGCAACACAGGCACCCCCAGTCCATATGCATATACCAACGACACAGCTATGCTGAGTAGCTGAAAGTCGTAGTCGTACTCTGCGCCTTTTGCAGAGAGGTAAGCCGCGATAGATGCACCCAGGGAGGAGGAGAGGTAGAGTGCAAATATGAGGGTCGTTAGAGTCCAGAAAGGGCCATAAAGGTCTGCCGGATTGAGGTGCGTGGATGTGTAGGTTGGAGCTGAGAGAGGGTTGAGGGTTGTGTAACATCTTCGGAGGACCTGTTGGCGCGTATTGAGCAAGAATACAACGAAAGTCAAAGGACAGACGAGAAGGGAACGCACGGTTTTGGTGTCCACGTCAAAGTAGGGCTGGTAGTATTCCACCGTCCAGAATCCGGACGAGCCTTTTGGGAGGTTCGATTGGTTAGAGAGATACCCTTTTTATGTGCTTGCTTAGTGTCGTGCGCAGCTGCGTACGAGGATATACACACCCCGATCGGCGTTCCCCACACCAGGACTCTTCGCCTGACTCGAAGCACCAATGGCACCCCCATCTGCGCCGAGGAAAGCTACAACGAAACAGGGGGTGAGTACGCCCGAGATTGAATGAATGGGCCCGAGGATGAGAGGCGTACATTTGAATTGGAGACCTTCTGGGCCTTCTTCTAATCGCTGTCGAAGTAGTGAATTTATTAACAAGAAGGAAAGGAGCGGGTGTACACACGTCGTCTGCTTCGACTTGTACGTATGCCATGTTATCGGCGAGGTTGTGGTCGTGATGGTTGAGAACAGTGAGCAAGTGTGGTCACGTTCCACTTTGACGGGATCCCGTGCTCATACCTCCTCACCACTTTGGTTCAATACTTAGTTACGGCAACAGATCTTTGACCAGTTCGCTGAAAAAGTGAATCATGTTCCTAACATCGGACAATAATTATTTACCTCTTTCTCAAATAACGACTACAGACCGCAACGTTCACTTCAAAGCATCTGAGTGCTTGGTTCCTTCAACTTCTTTTCACTGGAGATTCGCCACTCATCAAATTAATCCAAACTTCAAAGTCGCGTCGCCTTTTGTTGTTTCCCTTTCACTCGCGACGAATATCGCGCCTGGGCCGTGGACTACTTACAACGGGACACTGTCATCAATATGGAGGACAACGAAATGTCGTCGCCGAGGTCGTGGATCGCGATCGAACCTCCAATAAATCGTTCATCTCAGGGAGGTAAGTGGCTTTTCGCAATCCAACAAAGTTACACAACTTGTCAAGTCCTGAGCTGTATATCTTTCAGACACACTTCCCTCCTTTCCAGACTCACAATTCGGCATAATTCTACGCCGTCAGAGACTTCGACCAATTGACAACTCTGGATCCAAGAACTACGGTGGCATACCATCCCGTTTCATAAACCTCTCCAACTCGTTCGAGTTTGCTGGCTGGGGCTCTGTGACGAGTCTAAAACTCACTGAGGAAGACCGTGACGCGGGAAAAGCACAGATTGAATGCGTGAAAAAACGACGGGTTTTGGGTCAGTTCACGGCGAGTGCGCTTGCGGGAAATGATATCCTTGGAGGCATTTTTTATGTGATACCCGCCGTTGTTGGGGTCGGAGGGATTTAGTGAGTGGTGTACCCGTTGTCCTTCCCTTCGACAGATCTAATATTCAATCAGCTCGCCCATTTCTCAATTTATAGCGACGTTGATCCTTTTCTTGTGGCGTCCTATAATGGAGGAACTTGCATCAGCTTTACCAATGAGCGGCGGGCCATATACATACCTGTTTGTCTTGATCCCTCTATTTCTCCCCTGTGCCTGATGTCCCTCACATGTAGGCTGAACGTATCCTCGAAATGTTTTGCTCTGATCGCCGCATCCCTTCTACTCCTTGATTTCGCTTCAACCGTTATCGTCTCCGCTGCCACCGCAGCCGCCTATCTAGCTGGCGAAGTCTCCAATTTACCATTTCCTTCTTGGGTTGGGGCAGTCATCATCTTAGTACTCTTCACGATGTTAAGTCTCTCTGGTGTACGTGAAACTGCTCGTATCGCCTTGGTGGTTCTTATTCTCCACGTAAGTTCTATCTGATTCATAAATTTCATGGGCGCGGCTAACATTCCTCATCCTATCAAGTTAATAACTATGGCCATACTTATAATCGCATCGTCAATTCATTGGGCAAACATCGGAACCTACCAGCTCAAAGTTAATTGGGATCTTGGGCGCTCCGAAACCTCAAGCACCAGTTCAGTAGCGAAACAAATATTTTATGGCGTATGCCTTGGTATGTTGGGACTCACTGGATTTGAATGTGGGTTAGATTTTATACATCGGAGGAACAAATCAGATAAATATCTTGATAGGCGCACCGTCGTACACATCCTGCATCAAACCTGGGAAATATCCACTCGTCCTTAGAAACCTACACCTTCCAGCCATCTTTTTGAACACCGTTTTTATGATTCTCGTTCTGGCGATAATTCCAATGGATGTAGTCAAAGGTGGTGCGAACGTCCTTAGCGTTCTTGCTCAATTGGTATCATCTCTGCCAATTTTCATTAAATATGAGAGGCAAGCGTTAACAACATGATCAGTCCGCAGGCAGGTGGCTTCGCATTTGGGTGGTGATAGATGCCGTCATCGTGCTTTGCGGAGGTGTCCTCACAGGTCCTCCCTTCTTCGGCAAAAACACAATTATTCTATACTAACTTAATATGACACCAGGGATACTCAGCGCCTGTGAACTCTTGGAACAGCTTGCGAGTCACCGTGTAATTCCACAGGTGTTCCTTCGCCAATTGCCTGTGACACGGTCCCCATACATAGCTGTAGCATGTTTTGCGGGATTTAGCGGCATACTGTACGCGTCGGCAGGTGCGAGTTTGAATATCATATCTGAGATGTAAGTTTCCCTACGGAGATTATCTTCTCAATTTGAGCTCTCTTTTTTTTGCCCAGGTTTTCTCTCGTCTGGTTAACAGTTATGGCCCTATTTCCCATCTCCTTAATCCTGTTGAAATTCAACCGCGGTCGACTCCTTCGAGACTCAGAAACAAAATTAATGGTTATCCTCGGCGCCCTATTGATCGTACCTGCCGTCTTCGCTGGGAACGTTGCTATAAATCCACAAATGGCCGGATATTTCCTCGCGTACTTCATCGCGATCGTCGTTCTTTTCTCAGCGACGCAAAATAAGATTCATTTGTTGCGTTGGGTGTATTGGCTGTACGACCAATATCCGATATTGCATGACTGGAAGGTGACACATGCTTGGGGAAGCAAATTGATGACATTGATGACAAGATTGAGGAGAAGACCGTTGTGTATTCTGGCCAAGACGGATGAGGTATGTTACTTTTTCTCGGTGTGGTGCGTATGAGCTGAAGTTTGGGCATAGATCAATCAGTTGTTCCATATGATCCTTTACGTCCAGAAAAACGAGGAAACGTCCCACTTGAAGATAATTCATTTTTATGAAGAGGAAGACGGGGTACCTTCGGAGCTTGAGGCGAATTCTAAAAGTGAGATTCTTTTCAACCTCACTTTTTCCTACTGCTCAATTCCCGATAGTACTCGACGAAGCGTTCCCGGAGATAACGATAGATTTAGTGTGTTATTTCTTTTACCCTCGGCTATATGGTGTACCTAATTAACGATGAGCAGATTCTCGTGGCCGGATCTTTTGAGCCGGACAACGTCGCAAGCCTAGCACATCACTTGAACATTCCGCCAGCTCTCATGTTTATGAGTTGTCCTGGCCCGGATTTTCCTTACTCCGTGGCGGAATTTGGTACGCGCATTACATCCCTTTGACCATTCAAGTTATTTTGCTTTTTTACGTGTTTCTTGACATTGAATTTGTACATTTTAAGCGGGTTATAAGGGTTTACAGGGTTTATCTTGACTTATAAAGTGTTTCATATTTGCATTCCCACTTGTAGCATTCCTTGAAGTAGAGTACTTGCTTTGTGGTTGCTTCCCCTCATCCAACCCTCATCAAGATTTTTTTTCCACTTCAATTCACTCCGGCAAGTCCCCAGTACATTTGGCATTCCCTCAACGCGATCGTATGCCACGTGACTCGCATGACACTGCTAAAAATTTGTCGACTTTGCGGCGTGCGCGTCTGTGCTGAGTCGAACACATTGTGGTCCAGAACTTATCATGCTTTTCATTCCATTCTTTCATTGGGTGGAAGGAGAGACTTTGGTGCCGTTCGTGACAATCAAATGAAAAATGGTCCCGTCTGGGTCCTGGCCAAATTGATTTGCAATTTCAACCGCGTCTTCCTTGTAACTTATTACCACAACCTTGTCAACGACTGGACGCCACTGGGACTTTCGTCGATATCGCGCTCGAATATTTGAAACGGTATTTTGTCTTTTTTTGCTATCTTCAGGTGGCATGTTGGGCTCGCCAACGGAAGACATTGGACACGCCCCGACTTCCGAGTCGAAGGTCGCAAACGAGGAAGAAGAAACTGGTAATCCAACAGAATCGTCGCAGGATCAATGGATTGCGATCCAGCCACCCATACATCACGCGTGTCAAGACGGTGACTAGCGTTCTTTTATCACCTCAAAGCCCTAGTAATGAACCCACCAAATGCGACAGATCCATTGCCGTCCTTTCAGGACTCCCAATATGGAATAATCCTACGTCATCAAAGACTTCGACCAGCTGACAACTCTGGCATCAAGAACTACACCGCGGTTCCGTCGCGATTTATAAATCTCACCAACTCGTTCGAATTCGCCGGGTGGGGCTCCGTGACACAGCGAAGCTTACCAGCGAAGATCATGATGCCGGCAGGGGTCGTCTGAAAGCCATGAAGGAAGAATCGGTACTTGGTCAGTTTCTCGCTAGTGCACTCGCAGGAAACGCAGTTCTTGGAAGTGTATTCTACGCGTTACCTGCCGTTGTAGCAGTTGGAGGAGTCTAGTAAGTAATTGACGTCATGCAGCTCAAACGATTCTTATCCTCTTTAGCTCACCTATTTCATTATTCATTGCGAGGCTCATTCTCTTTCTTTGGAGGCCTATAATGGAAGAGCTCGCATCAGCTTTACCAATAAGTGGTGCACCATATACTTACATGTGCGTTTTTCTTACCCCGCTCTGGTTGTCTATGTCTTATGTGGAACCCAGATTAAATGTATCCACAAGAGGATTTGCTTTGATCGGTGCCTCTCTTTTGCTTCTCGACTTTGCTTCAACGGCAGTTGTCTCAGCAGCCACAGCGGCTACCTACCTTGCAGGTGAAGTTCCAGGTTTACCTTTCCCAGCTTGGGTAGGAACTGTCATTGTCTTGGTGATATTTACCATCGTGAGCCTTATGGGTGTTCAGGAAAGCGCTCGAATCGCTTTAGTTGTTCTCAGTTTTCACGTAGGTTCATTTATGAGTATACTTTCGCGTTTAAGTGATTAAATACTGATGCTGATATAGATAAGTACTATGATCGTCCTTATTGTGGCGTCCTCCATTCACTGGGGAAAAATTGGGATCCAGTAGTTGAAACAAAACTGGGACGTTGGACGATCCGAAAGTCCTGACCCCAGGTCGGTGGCAAGAGAAATATTTTACGGAATTTGCCTCGGGACGTTGGGTTTAACTGGGTTTGAATGTAGTCCTATAAAAAAATTTGACCGTCAAAACTTGTCTATTGACCTCAAATGACAGGTACACCATCGTATATTGCACGTATCAAACCCGGAAAGTTTCCCCTCGTTCTTCGGAATCTCCACATCCCAGCGATTATCTTGAATAGCATCATTATGCTTCTCGTTTTGGCGGTAAACCCATTAGAGGAAGTAAGAAGCGGGGCCAACATCCTCAGCTTCCTTGCGCAAATGGTCTGTCGAAATATTTGACATTTCGTGAAACTCTGACAACGTAAACAGACTGCAGGCCGGTGGCTTCGAACGTGGATTGTCGTGGACGCTATTATCGTGCTTTGCGGGGGCGTCCTCACAGGTTGTATAATCGATGAAATTTTCATGATATTGGCACTGACCTTGAGCGAAACAGGCATTCTCAGCGCTTGCGGGCTGCTTGATCAACTCGCCAACCACAGAGTGATCCCTGGACTTTTCCATCGTCTTCTGCCGATCACGCGTTCACCATATGTGGCCGTATTATTCTTTGTTTCGTTCAGTGGAATGCTCCATCTGCGGGAGCGAGCCTCGAGACTATTTCGGACATGTAAGAAGTCCGTCAAACTTGCTTGACATTTTTCCTCTTATTTCTTTTGACAATAGGTTCTCACTCGTCTGGCTCACCGTCGTGTCCCTCTTTCCCTTGTCCTTGCTTCTGCTAAAGTTTAACCGTGGTCGACTCCCTCGCGATTCAAGGGCGAGTTTACAAACGATCTTGTTCTCCCTCATAATTGTCTCTGCTGTATTTGCAGGGAATATCGCCGTGAATCCGCGAACTGTGGGATACTTCTCCGCATATTTCTTCGATATTGTTCTCATTTTTTCCGCAACACAAAACAAAATTCGGCTGCTACGATGGGTGTATTGGGTTTATTATCAATATCCACGGCTGCACGAATTGAGGGCAACGCATACCTGGGGAACTCAGTTGACGAACCTGATGATAAATTTGAGGAGACAACCGGTGTGTATTGTTACCAAAATGGACGAGGTACGTTTTCTTCTCTAGGCATCTTTTTCTCAAGTGTTGAGGTGCTCACATTTTTCGCCATCAAGATCAACACTTTATTCCATATGGTTCTTTATGTTCGAGAAAACGAGGAGACTTCGTGCCTCAAGATTATTCATTTTTACCAAGAAGAAGAGGGTGTTCCTTCTGAACTAGAAGCGAATTCGAAGAGTAAGTCTTTTCTCCCTTTTTCCATTTTTTTTTGACGAATTTGTTTTCATCATCAATTTTAGACGAAGCGTTTCCAGAGATAACTATCGATCTCGTATGTCGACTACTCGTTATTATGCCTTCTCACTGAAAAAGTCTTCGTAGATTTTGGTGCAAAATGACTTTAATCCCAAGAACGTAGCTGCTCTGGCACACCATCTAAACATCCCTCCATCCCTCATGTTTATGAATTGTCCTGGCCCAAATTTTGGTCATTCTGTGGCCGACTTTGGCACGCGTATCATATCCCTTTGATAATTCGCGATTCTCAAAAATTGTATTTATGTAATTTTAGATGTAACACGGAAGCCTTCAAGCCTTGCAATCACGTAGCGGCTAATGGTCATTTGGGCAATACAGAAATTGAAGACGACAACATCAAAACATAAGGATTCGTAACATCATTAACCTTCGTGGCAACGTAAATTGCTACTTCCACTTCGCGCGATTCCTCACAAACTGCCATTCCTATGTTGCTGGATTCGGTTCCCCACTTTCAGCGGCTGCAGTCGAACTAGCCTCCGCGGCGTATGGGCGCTCGTCAATCCCAAACGCCACTTTGAGGACAGTTGGTTGCAAAGACGCTATCGTCAAGCCGAAGGGCTCCCTGATCCTTGACTCCCACCCTTCAGGAAGACGCTCTTCGATAAAGATGGACTCGAGATCAGAGACCCGACTGCCGAATATCGTCAAGATAGTTGAAGAGCTTCAAAAGAAGGTTGAGATTATAGATAGAGGAGGGGAGGGAGGATGAAAAAACGCACTTGGAACTGCTAAACGTCCTGTGGGATAGGTTCATGTGGAACTCGGGGTTATTGGCACGAGACTCTGCACGACGCTTGGATAAAACACGAGAAACGTCGGCTGCGGTGAAGAGCATGTTTCCTTCCGTGTCCTTTCCCGATGCAGCGTCGAGAAGTTCCCTTACGAAAGGAAGGTGGGGCTTCCCTTGGTCTTTGACGAAATGAATGTCTTCGCCTGTTCAATTTATGCGGTCGGTAACCTTTATTACGACATTGGAACAAAAAAAAGAACTCACGAGTGAGAGACGCGTCGTGTTCAATGCCCTTGTCACTGTGCAAATCGATATCAGCCAAGTCGATCCTATCCTTCCCGTAACTCTTGTTCAACATCCTAGCAGCAAAGTTTGCGACGTAGAAGCAGAAAGAGGGTGAAAAGTTATAGGTTCCCCTGACTGTGCTATACAACTCCGGGAACGAGATGTTCTTCCCATCGCGTGGTAAGATACCTGTCAATAATTCAGTAAGGTTGACTTACGTCGCGACCAACCGATAAACATACCATGATTCGCCATAGCGTTCAACCCTGGGCACGAGCACCGACTATCTCCCTCCTTCGGTGCGATATATTCAGGCCATTTTCCACCTTCTCCAGGATGGCCCGCAGGGGTTACATGGTCCACCTTCCTGCGCGGCGTCACGAGGTTGATCAACGTCAATCCGAGGTCCCATGAGAAAACCCCAGCGTCTAGAATCGCTCTGGCTATGGGGGTTACGAGGAACATGGCGGTGGAGGGAAAATGAACATATGGGCAGTCAGCTTTTTATACGCCAACTACTACTCGGTCCGCAATGGAAGCGATCAAGCTGTCATATGTCTGGAAAACAGCTTGACACTCGTCCTGGAAGCTTTGGTCATGCTTACATGACCGTAAAAGTACCGTTTGTCGTGTGCCCAAAGGGGAGTACAGTCGTGGACAAGCAAAGCCCTGAAGAAGATAGAGGCTGTAGAGTCAGATACACAATAATAGTGGTCAACTTGAGCACTGACGGATTTGTAGTATCCATTAACTTGTCAACTCCCTTCTGGTCTCAAACAATTTGAGAGGAGCAGGGTGAAGATGCTCGTAAATTGAATGAATGTAGGTGCATTGTTCAACGACATGATCAACTGACCAGCGTGTCAAGATCGAAGATCGCAGTGGCCGACTTTGGTAGGCGTGCCAGATCCGCTCTGTAAAGCTGCGATTCCCCATATTGAATGTAATTTTGAATGTATCACGCAAGTCTTCAAGCATTCGCAACCTTTCAATTACGTAGCGGCCAAAGGTCGCTTGGGCAACACAGAAATCGAAGACGGCATCATCGAAAACATAAGAATTCGCAAGATCATTGACTTTCGTGGGTTTGTTACAATGTGATGGAATGTCCGCTGTCCAACCAAAATTTGCCACTCTCGCTTTGCGAAATCGTTGCTAACCACCATTCCTACGCTGCTGGATTTGGTTCCCCACTCTCAACAGCTGCAGTCGAGCTAGCCTCCGCGGCATATTTGCTCTCATCAATCCCAAATTCCACCTTCAGAACAGTCGGTTGGAAAGACGCTATCGTCAACCCAAAGGGCTCCCTGACTCTCGACTCCCACCCTTCAGGAAAACGCTCATCGATGAGGATGGACTCGAGATCGGAAACGCGTCCGCCGAATACCGTCAAGAGAGTTGAGGAGCTGTATAAGAAGGTTGAGATAAAAGAGAGAGGAGGGAGGGGGGATGAGAAAACGTACTTGGAGCTACCAAACATCTTGTGGAACAGGTCTAAAGAAAACTCGGGGTTGTTGGCACGAGACTCTGCGCGACGCTTGGCGGAATAACGAGAAAGGTCGGCCGGGGTGAGGAGTACGTTTCCATCTTTGTCCTTCCCCGATGCAGAATCGAGGAGTTCTCTTACGAAAGGAAGGTGCGGCTTCCCTTGATCTTTGACGAAATGAAGGTCTTCGCCTGTTCAATTTAAGCTGTCGTTTATTACGACATCGAAGGGAAAGAAACAAGAGAGCTCACGAGTGAGAGACGCATCGTGTTCAATCCCATTGTGTAAATCCAAATCAGCCAAGTCAAATCTATCTTTCCCGTAACTCTTGTTCAACATCCTAGCAGCAAAGTTTGGGACGAAGAAGCAGAAAGACGGTGCAAAGTTGTAAGTTGCCCTAATCGTGCTGTTCATCTCTGGGAAGGAGATGTTTTTCCCATCGCGGGGTAGGATGCCTGTCAAAAATTCATTCAAGCAGGTCGGCAACATCGCAATCGACAAATGGACAGACACACCATGATTCGCCATAGCGTTCAACGCAGGACACGAGCACCGACTATCTCCCTCCGTCGGTGGGATATACTCAGGCCACGTCCCACCTGCGCCAGGATGGCCCGCGGGGGTGACATGGTCCACCTTCCTGCTAGGCGTCACGAAGTTGATCAAGGTCAATCCGAGGTCCCATGAGAAGATCCCGGCGTCTTGGATGGCTCGGGCGATTGGGGTTACGAGGAACATGGCGGTGGAGGGGAGGTGGTCATGTGGGCAAGCCTGCAGGCAGCCCTTTTATATGCCGACTACTACTCCCAGGAACGTAAAGGAAGCGAGAATGGCAAGTAAGGGAAAAGAGTCATCAAAAGCTTGACACTCCCTGGAAACGTGGTCACGTATGACCGCGCCGGAATATATCTATCTATCTATGTAAAAGTACCGCTTATCGCCTTCCTCGTTTGTTTCTCAACGTTCTTATGGATATATGTATCACGTCTACAAGCGCTATCAAGGCAGAACCAAGGCAGAACTACCCCTCTTACAACCAACCTTGCACGACCCAGCCAACGACCTACCTGGAAAAAGTGCTTACCATTTCTCGTAGTCAAACCGACTGTGTAGTCGAGTGACAATGTTCATGAAGTCCGGTTCGTTATCAGGGGTGATGTAGCCAAGCCTGATGAACAGGTCTATCAAAACTGTCGAAGTACGCATGAAATGAATTAGTAATGGACGGGTCACCAGAAACACAGCAGCGGAAAACGTACCTAGAGCACAGTTTGGCTTGAAGAGTCCAAGACGTAATTTCTCGATGAGTTTGTCTTGCGTCATGAGCTTTGCAGAGATTCAGTCAATTGATTTGCTGGACCACAAAAAGAAGAGACACACCTCGAAAGACTCCACCTCGCCGTCTGAGGGTTTAGGTTCGAACAGAGTTGGATCCGCACCGGGTGGGATGGGCAAGTCATATACGTATCTTACTAGAGATATTAGAAGGCTTTTTGGAATACTCCAGATGACACTTACTCAACTTCAGGCTGCAGCCAACCCTTCGAGGTCCTTTGAAAACGTCAACGAATGCCCAAGTAGGAGTCTAGATTCGAAGTAGTTCCACCTGAAGAAATAGCTAATAGCTCCAGCTCCACGAACATGTTTCCGAACTAGGTCCGCTCCCAAGCTAGCTTCCTCCATACACTCTTTCACGAGCGACTCAAAGACGGGCATCCCGCTGGGTATGCCACCAGCAACCGTGTTGTCCAGGAATCCAGGGAATCTAAGTAACAGCGAAGCATGAGCACAAATGGAGTGAAAGGTACTTGTATGAACGTACGTAGGCTTCGTCCTTGCACGCGTAGGAACCCAAACACTCAACCTCCTCTCCCCATCCAAACCAGACACCTCCTGGTATATACTCATATGCACCCCATACGTGACCACACCAAAAAGCGCACACGCCGAGCGCTCCATCTCAAAGACAAAGTTGAGCTCCTTGGTGGTCCCTTTTGCTTGATGATCGGGGTGGTCCAGCACTCCAAAGGGGTCTGCGTATACAGGGTACAACTCGTCCCTCCATTTCTTGGGCCCGCAGACATCGTTAAAGAAGTGCATACCCCGCCATCGCTCACAGATCTCACGCATGGCGGCGGAGCGTTTTGTGGGTGTGTCAAGCCAGCTTTGGAAGCTCACCCGGGGGTGCCCCACTCCTTCTTGGAATTCCAACTCCCAGATTACCGGAAGGCCCAGCCGCCTACTCCGCTCGTTCTCCGGTCTGAGCTGTTGGACGATGATCGGGCGGAGTAAGCCAATAATGGGGCTTTCAGGTGACGGGTTCAACGCGAATGGGACGAGGTGCTCTCCTCCATGTCCGGCTTTGTCCTGCGCGTCGATTTTGTGCTTTAGATCGTAGAGCGCTTCGGGAGTTGGACGGTAGATCTGGACGTTGTCGCAGATGTCTATAAGGTCTAGATAGGATAAATTCAAAGACATTCTGCGGTGATAAAGCAGGGAGGAACAAGAGCACAATGCAGTCGTCGTTCCGAGTCGATGTTTGTCGTCGGCTATCTAGAAGGGATGTCCGGATTTGGAAATTGGTTATTTCTTTCTTGACGGCGATGGCTCCCCTCTACAATCGAAACACGACGCAGCCTGGGATGCCTTTATGACAGAATGATTTTAGGATAAAGGGACAAAAGGGCCTTTGTTTCCCTTCCCAACACTCATGGACGTATCGAATTTGCTGGAGCAGGTACGTTCTTTGACTATCTCTAGTCTCTCACATCCTTTGACCATCTACACTAGCTCGTCGTCTCCCATGACGATTCCTACGAAGGCATTCACTCCAGCCCAGAACCTCCTTTACTAGCAGATCATGAAAGCACCTCCATCCATTCCCTCCCCGTCGAGCTCCTCGAAATCATATTCACAATGACCCACCGGGCCTGGCTCCTCTCCACCATCCATCCCCAACTCCTCACCATCAACCCCACCTTACCGAGGAACAGCATCTGGGACACCCTAATGAGGCAGTTCTCCCTCTTCCCGCACGTACCCGCGTCGGTATGTCGGCTCTGGCGGGAGATCATCACATCCACACCCCATTTCTGGACACGCCCAGTCATTCTGGTTGACTCCCCTGCGTCGTTGACGGCGCAGCTAACCCTGTTCCTCAAACGATCCCGGCACCTCCCCATCGTCGTAGCCATCGTGCGGAGGTCCTATGATGGGGGGTACGACCCGAACGAACGGTGGCGCGTAGCGGCAGTCATGAATGTCCTAGCACGCAACCTCCACCATTTCCAAGATATCTACTTCCACGTTACCCAAAGCTCCTCGCTCCCACCTATGTCTACCTTCTTTCAAAGCACGGCACCTCACCTCGTCAGCATAGCAATGCACTGCGATATGGACGATGGGCTGAACGTGTGTGTTCCCCCACCTATCCCTATCCCTTCGCGGCCCGACCTCTCCTCTCCCCCTTTGTTTTCCCTCAAATTGGATGGCCCGAATTTTATGACGATGTGTCGGAACCCGTCCGTATGGATCGGGAAGTTTTCATTCCTCAAATCACTCACAATTGAACGTCTTGCTTTCATTGGAGACGAGTTGATATCGCTGGAATGTGCTTTTATAGCCATCGCGTGTCTGCCTTTACTTTCTTCCCTCGTCCTTCGGGACGTCACTTTCCTCCTCACTTGGCCGGCTACCAGGATTCCGGGTGCTCAGCGCCTCAAATTGGGGGTGTCGGAGGTACACCTTGAAGATCTAGAAGATGACGTGATCAAAGGGATCCACTCCATAGCACACCTCTCCCCAACCCACCTCACGCTCAAAAACGTCTCTATAAACGAGTTTCCGGAGGTTCCGTGTACGACGTTCCTTGAACTCGCAGACCTCCGGGACGATCAGGACCTCGAAGACTTTTTAACCTTTTGGGACGGGGAGGTCCTCTCCTTAAGGGGTTGTCCGTCGTTCGACGATAATCTTTTAGGACTTTTCGAAGCGGAGATAGTGCCGCCGTATCATATCGCTCCCAGCCTACGTGCTCTGCATATCGAGGATTGTGAGAACTTTACGGGAAAGGCGTTGAGGAAAATGGTGGAAAGGAGGAGGGACTTTGCGATGCGTGAGGAGAATAGGGGTTTGGGGTTTGTGTGTATAGAGGATGTGTATGTGTGTGGGGTTGGGCCTACGGTGTTGGAGGAGGAGGATGAGAGATGGTTGAGGGGGAATGTGAGGAATTTTCATTGGGGGCTGGAGGAGGGGAATGATGTTCCTAGGATTACTATGGTGTATGATGACTAGGACGTTTAGTGTAATCATTTTCCGTGGGCGAATAATGGAATTACGAGGCTCGTCTGCCTAACGGTGCCATACATACGACCCATGAACTAAAGCAACGAACTCGTACTCTCCCCTCAAGAAAACACCCTTTTCACCTCCTCTTCTGCAACCTCCTACTCTCCGTCTTATCCTTCGCCTTCTTCGGCGCACCCTTGCCCCTCTTCCTCCTCTCATAAACATCAACCAACCTCTCCTCCGCATCCTCATTCACCATCTCCATATCGGGGTTCTGCCGAATGAACCGGGAGAGGTTGAGCGTGGTGGGGTAGTACGCCATCATGCTGGGCCCGCGGAGGCGTTGGCGGAGGTATTTGGCGCCTGTGCGGAGACCTTGCGGGTTGTAGGTTGTTTGGAAGATTTTGCACCGGAGTTTGGTTAGGGCGCGGAGGTGGTAGGGGAGGCCTGGTGCGAACATTGGGGTGTGTGTGTGGGGAGGATGCCCGTTGGGTTGTTTTAAGTTGAGGTCCCTTGAGTGAGGTAAGGTGCAAGCGCAAACGTCAAGGGTGTCAACTTCCAAAAAATTTGAATTTGTTGATGCCGTCATTACATATCATGGACCTATTCACCAACCAACCCCACAAAACTCAACTCATACTAACAGCCCTCGGCGCATCACTAGCAACAGCCAGCCTCTTCCACGCCTACAACACACACACCAAGCGCGTCCGGCGCAGAAAACTAGACCAAGAAATTCGGTTGTCCATCGCTACTCATACGCAGACACATAACGTCCCCAAGCCGCCTGCTCGCGCTATCACCACCCTCGACGGCGTTGGGCCCTCTTTACCGAGTTTTGGAGATGTGGCGGATTATGATGAGGATTTGATTAGGGAGCAACTGGCTAGGAATTATGCGTTTTTTGGGGAAAAGGGGATGGAGAGGATTAGGGAGGGGAGGGTGGTTGTGGTTGGATGTGGAGGCGTTGGGAGTTGGGCTGCTGTTATGCTTGTTAGGTCGTACGTTCTCCCTTTTTCTTTTTCAAATTGACCAATGTTGAGAGTTTTTTTTGGTGTGTGTGCTTAGTGGTATCTCGAAAATTAGGCTGGTAGACTTTGACTACGTCACTTTGTCCTCCCTCAACCGACACGCCACAGCTGGGCTGGATGACGTCGGGACGCCAAAAGTTAAATGTATTGAAAAAACACTCTTGTCGATCTGTAAATGGGCACAGGTAGACTCTCGGATAGAGGTTTGGCGCAAGGAGGAGGGAGGAGCGTTGTTGGAAGACGCTGATTGGGTTATTGGTATGTTTTCGCCGTCCTTAACACACGCTCTCTTCTCACAGTGTTTCTTAGATGCGATAGACAATATACAGACGAAAGTCGATTTGTTAAAGTATTGTCATGATAATGACATCAAGGTAGACCCCTCATCTTCGCCACAGTTATCGTTTACTGACGCCGGACAAGGTTTTCTCCTCCATGGGCGCAGGAGCCAAATGCGACCCAACCCGAATACAAATCAGCGATATCTCGCATACAATATACGACCCCCTCGCACGCTCCGTCCGCAGACGTCTCCGTACACTCGGCGTCTCCTCCGGTATCCCCGTCGTCTATTCTACAGAAGTACCAGGGGACGTGAAACTCCTCCCGCTCCCCGAAGAAGAGTTTGAGAAAGGCGCGGTCCATGAGCTGGGTGTGTTTGATGACTTTCGAGTCCGAATCCTGCCTGTTATCGGTTAGTACCCACTCCTTGACATGCGGGTAGTTGAACTAACTGGGCGAGCTAATTAGGCCCGCTACCGTCGGTGTTCGGACTCCACATCGCGACTTACGTTCTCTGCGAACTGGCCGGAAAACCGATCCTTAACCCCCTCCCCATAAAAAATAGAAAGAAGCTCTATGAAAGGATGTATCGCGACTTACTCGTTCGCGAGTCTAAACTGTTGGGTGAACAGCTCAAGTACGTTTTACATAACATTACATTCGTAGCAAAATAACCTGATTTTTCACGACAGCAAACTCCCCATCGACGAAGACGACGTCGCCCTGATCTTCGAAGACCTACACAGGGGACGTTCCGTCATCCCACCGCACAACGTGCCCAGCAGACCGACCCTCGTCCGATGGGACCCCCTCCTGCCTTTGACAGTCGATAATTGCGTGGTTATGGAGTTTGCGGACGCGGAGAAGCACATCAAGGCCTGTTGGCATGATGATGGTACGCGGCCGGAAGAAGTGTGGGGTAAGGCGGTGAAGAAAGTGGTTGAGAGGCGTGCGGAGGAAGCGCGTGAAGTGCGTGAGTGGGTGTTATGAATCTCTCCGTAATCTCTATCAAAATAATACGCAGCCCCTTGTGCCGCCATCTTTCGTCATTTGTGTATGTACTTCGCTTATAATAATAACCCAACTCCTTGTCCTATATATTTCGGCCGACCAGATCTACATAGTGCATATACACATCTCCTCCACATTTGACATGTCCATCCCGTATCTGATACGCCAGGACTACCAGCCCACCACCCTCGACGACTGGGAGCGTTCCGACAAATACCACAACTCCTTCCTCCTCCTCCCCGATCCCGCATTAGAAGCAGCCGCGAAACGAAACGACGAACAGGGGTTACCTGAGATCGCCGTTTCCCCCGCTCAGGGAAAGTTTCTGAATTTACTCGCACAGTCTATTGGCGCGAAGAGGATATTGGAGGTTGGCACGCTGGGAGGGTATGCATGTGTGCATATATATTGTATCAGTCTATACTCACTCGGAAGGCGAAACAGGTATTCCTCGATTTGGTTGGCAAGAGCGCTCCCGCCCGACGGCACCCTCGTCACTCTAGAAATCTCCGAGAAACATGCTCAGGTGCGCGCACTTACCCTCCCCTCCATCCTCGGCTCACCCCCACGTGCTAGGCAGCAAAAGAGAACGTAGCAGCAGCCGGCCTAGCCAACAAAGTCTCCGTCATCCTAGGACCCGCCATCGACTCACTCCGCGCGCTCCCGGAAGAACCGAAGTTCGATCTGGTGTTCATAGACGCGGATAAACCGTCCAACACTGCGTATTTCGTCGAAGCGAAGCGGCTGGTTAGGAAGGGCGGTGTCATCGTGCGTCTCCTGTGTGTTGCAATCTTTTTATTGATAACTTGAAACGGGGTGATTGTAGATCGTGGATAATGTGGTTCGCTACGCCCGAGTTGCTGATCCCAGGTACACGGATGGAAGCGTTGAGGGTGTACGAGACTTGTTGCGCGCACTCAAGGACGATAAGGACGTTGAGGCCACGACCATTGGAACGGCTGGGGAGAAGGGGTACGATGGGTTCTTGTATGCAGTCCGAAAATGAAGTCCACTTCGGTAATCACCGTTGCAATTAGATACCAGTCGAAATCATGAAGGTTGTAAATGATACATAATGGAATTGAGTTTTGAACGAAGGAGGGTACAATTACACCTATGTACTACAGAAGGTATTCGTACATTGTAGAGTAAGTAGTACAAGCAGAGACGAAACAACTTTGAGTGGGGATGAACGAAAAAAGGTGAACATAAGGATAGGTGTGTGACCTGCATCCCAACCAGGCCAGCCGAATCAAGTGAGGTAAATCAGCGTCCTGCGCTGCGTAGACACCAAAAAAAGGGTAATAAAAGCACCAATCAAAAACCCAGTAACAATGAATCCAGCCGTCTCCACCAACACAGGCGACCTACGCAGTTCCTCCTCGTCCTCATCATCCAGATCAAGATTAAGCGCGAGCGCCTCGTGAAGATGGTGGGTCTGCGTGATGAGGCTCATTGCTGGCCTTGGGGGGAGGAAGAGGTCGTGTGCCGTCACTACCCCCCTGGTTGACGGCCCAATTTGAGGTTCGAAAGGGGGCAGTCGTCGTCTGACTAGACCCATGGACATTGGTATTGGGGGCGCCAGTTCCACAGACGTCGGCAGCTTCCCTTTTTCGTGTATGGGTGAGGGAGGCTGCGATGCTCCGACGGGAGGGAGAGCCCGGGCGTTGAGATGAGGGGAAAATGAGGAAGAACTGGGAGTGGAAGGTAATGATGATGATGCTGATGACGATGAGTGCTTGGACGCCTGGTCTGTTGAAGGTGATGTGGGGATGGCGATTGGCGATAATCCTTTTGAGGAAAGGGTAGATAGAGAGGAAGAGGATGTTGTCGCTGGGAAAGCCTCAATTGGAGAGGCTGCTTGAGACTCCTCAAACGGAGAGGCTGCTCGAGACTCCTCAAGAGGAGAGGCTGCTCGAGACGCCTCCATTAAAGAAATTGCTGGAGACGCTTCAAGGAGCGACCACGCCTCAAGCGGAGATGTTTGAGATCCTACTTCAGATACAACAGACGGCGATGAAGCCCCAGACGGAGACGTCGATTCCGCAGGCGAATCTCCCTTCAAAGAAGCAGAAGTCGATGCCTCAGAAACAATGGGTGGAACAATAATCGAAAGAGGCGTAGCAACTTTGGGCGAGAACGGCCATTCCGTGATAACATTAAAAGGAACACCTGGGAGGTCCAACGCACTCGATACGGCGGGTGTGATGACGGGAACCAAACCAACAAAAGGCCGAGATACTGTGCCTGATACAACCACTTCGTCATGTTGCAAGTCGTCCTCGAGAAGGAAATTGGTTGTTTTAGGTGAGGGCGGTGGAGAGTACTGCGATACCTCACGCAAAGTGAGTGATTGAGGCGAACCAGGCCTCGACGGAGACGGAGAAGATGCAGCGGACGATAAGTCTTCATCTCCACCTTGTGAAATCTCTCTTGGAGGAGTCAACGGCTGGAATGACACCGCCAATGGAACGCCTACGTATCGATGTGCCGGCGCAGCCGTCGTAGGAATCGTCAACGAATGACGAGGCGACGCAGGGGGTGTTATGGGCGTCTCGAAGTGAATCGGGGATTGTGGGGGAAGTTCGCGATGGAAGTCAAGTGGAGCAGGACGGCCTTTAGCCAAGGGATAGGGATCTGATACGATCGGTTGAGGCATCTCCGAGACAACTGGCCGAGGCGTTTCTGACACAACTGGTTGAGGTGTTTCTGACACAGTCGGCTGGGGAGTTTCTGCTGCCCAATGGACTCTCATCCTAGTTTGGGTTATCCGAGCCCTCTCGTACCCTCTGATGATTTTCTCCAATCCCTCAATAATCTCCTGCAGCTCAAGAACCTCAGCTCTCGCCTTCCGTTCATACTTCCCGCGCAGTTCTTCACCAATCGCCAGAGTGATGGATTGAATCATCCGTTGCAGCTCAGGGTGTTCCCGCACCCACCACTGGCTCGGCCATTGCGCAATGGTAAACGCCAAAACATGTAAAGTGTCAATGGCGGAGTCCACGTGTTCCGTGACCAGCTCGAGGAACCACGGTCTCAAGAAGGCCAATGCGAGCCGAACAGCACCTCCTGTGGCATCGCGCATACGAAGCTCGTTTTGGCGGTTGAGGAAACGATTGGACATGTCCTGGCAGAACTGACGATAACTTGGCTTTCGTTGCGCGTAGTCCCATGCGATGTGGTGAAGTGGGTTTTCCTTGATGGGGAAATCCGATTGTAGGAAGTAAGAGGGTAGTTTTTCGAGGATGGAGAGCAGGGGAACGGAAGCGAGGACAGCGTTGGCTGGGATGAATCCGTATACGAGAACTGATTGGGATTCTTGGGAGAATTTGTACCACTTCCAGTACTCCGATCTTCGTCTAAAGATAACGAAGTCTTAGCCACAATATATCGAAGTGTTGAGGACACTTACTCCTTGGGTAAACTCTTGCGTAACAGCTCAACAGCGGTCTCTGCTCTATCTGCAACGGCCCTGGTATCGATGATGGCAATCTCAACGTCCTTCTTGACCCCAAAGTGATATCTCCGCATCGCCTCCCAGATCGACCACGCGAAGCTAAACGACGTCGAGACATACACGGAGGACGCCCTCGTTGTCCAATCCATATGCCTAGCAGCATCAGCGTACGTCCCACCCTGGGGACCCGGTAGCTTGCAATTTGACACCTCCAAGGGTGAACGAGCATACACCTCGTTGAATTTCGGAGCGACGAAGATAGGATCGGTCTCATCGAAGAAGGGGGACCGTTCCTTGGGTGTGTATACTCGGTAGAGGAAGCGGTTGTTTTGTATGAGGTCCTTGAAGTTCACCTCTGCGCCAAACCCGCACTGTGGTAGCGGCAATACTCCATCGGAGTGATCGTGAGGATGTGAAGACATAGTAAAGAGAGTTGAAGGAAACAGAACCACTTGCTGTCTTCGCCCTTTTGTATGATCAGCACTTCCGGTACCTCATGTACTCCGAGCGCAGTTGAAACGTTGAAGGAAAGGTATGGGAGATTAAAATATGAAGCTGTGTTGTGTCGGAATTAGGCATGGCCTATCAACACGTGTGAGGTGCATGTCGTGGATGCGGCGTTTTGCAAAACCGGGGTTCAAATGGTTTGCTCTATTCATAGTAATACTGAGTAAGACTTGATGAACATTCGAACGTCATACTGGCGGGTTTGTTGACTTACTCGAGTGATGCATATGCTAGTGATGGTTGAAGATGGTTGGGAGCGGTTGAAGATGGTTGGGAAGTCGGAGACGGGAGTGAAAGGCGGGGACAAACAAATACAATTTCATGCAAGGAATATCTTGAATGGCGTGTATCCACCGTGTATCTCAGCAAGTATTTGCTCCCTACCCTCAAGGTCTTAGATTCAGGTGGGGACTGATAGCGTTTACAATAATATGAGCAAAAATTGAGGGCTTTATCCAGATTTTTATGATTATTCTAGAGTACAGAAATTGGGCGGTAACTTGAAACAAATTCGCTTGCACGCGCAGCGAGCTCGCAGAGTGCGGATACGTAATACCTCTGAGACTTGAGCTTGATTACTGAGTTCACAATGCAAGTTGAGCTCTGGATCCGTTTTGATTTTGGGTATCGGCATGCGCTCTCCATCCCGGTTCACGAGTGTCGGCGATTCTCACTGCATCCTCTCACCTGGTTACGTTTTCTGGGGTACGCCTTATACGGCAAGGAAGGGTACATCTCCTATGAGCGCGATGGCGAAGAGGTCGCGGATTATCGTCCTGAGGGCGTGTCTATATCGCCTAGGATGTATTACTACATATCTCAAGGCGAGTCATTTCAAGTGAATCGGGATCTGTCATTCATCTTTAATGATAGACAAAGACTATCGTTTGCTTGATCCAAATCTGATGAATGGCAGAACCTCCTACACGTCGGATGTCACTAACCGCCGGGCGAACTTTAGAGACGATGTAGTCAATCGTGATAGGCGTTGCGTGGTAACTGGTGCAGCTCCAGCACAATGTCAGGCTTGCCATATAGTCCCGCATGCAACGGTAAACCACTGGCAGGTGCGTTCCGGCCCTTGGTACCGTTCACGCCGCTTATTCCAGACGCAGTACATGAAGAATCTCGTCGACTACAGGCAAGCAGTCGTTGATCCACTCTTAGACGACGTCAACGATACGCGGAATGGGATCCTGCTTAACCGAATGCTGCATACCGCGTTCGGAACCTCCCAGGTCGCCTTCTTACAGGTCAGCTACTCGACGCAGTTATCTTCAATCTCATTGAGTTGATTTGCTAGTTACCCAATTTCGCGATGAACGTCAACGATGTGCCGCTCGCCATGCAAAGCGACACGATTGTCGGCCTTCTTCAATTCGCCGTGCATCCGTCACTCGCGAATAGTCGCCTTACCTTTCACAATTTTAGTTGCAGTGATCCACTGGTTGATCACATAATACCTCACAACTCAGCTGCGGCGCAAGCAAATAACGATTGGCCGCCACCTTTTCTCTTCGGTGTCGCCTATGGTTCTGCTGCGCTCGAGGCATGGGGAGTGAAGAACTTTGTGCAATTTAGCCAGGAAAAAACCAAGGACTTTTACTACCGCGAGACCGACGATGACGACGACGACGATGATGACAGTCATTCAGTTAGGGGTGCAGGGAAACGGGGGATGGTTAGTCGCAATAAAACGGTTCGAACTAGGAAAGCAGATCGTCGTTCGCAGACTGAGATGTCGGAGAAGGTAGGAGACAGTGAGGCATTTGATATGTTTGACGTGGTTGCGGGATTATGGGCGTATAATGCAAGGAAGGACATGCATCGGGCACGTATTATGAAGGAGCAAACTAGGGAGAGCATTCAAAATTGGCTTCAACTTGTAGAATGACTACCCGGCTCGGTAGGAAGGAGCTCAAGGTGGTCAAGGTATAAGCTATGCTATCAGCTCAGACTAACATAAGTTTTCAGAAAATGCAGCCCCTAAGCTTTCTCTATGACAAAATGCTACTGACGGTGATGCCCACCTCTTGACAAGTCTCCTTCAACACTCTCTTCCACTCTGAACATGCTATTGTTGGTTCTCCAGCCTCCTCCCAAATCCTTGCCAGCCAACCCGCCACACCCATCCAAATGGTATCAATCATGGGCACATAAGGTACCCGTGGTCAGCTGCCCTGATTCTTGTTGTTGTTCACGTGTGCCGATTCCCGGTGCGTGGCACTGATCAAGTGTTTGATGAGGGTGTGGAAAATGGGATGGCATCGACCAGCCAATTACTTGTTGGAACAGCGTAGTAAGAGGCTTCACATATGACAGTGACCCTAGCCCTTACCTAATGGACTAACCGAACCTGACAATACCTCATACCATATGGGGCCAGCGGACTCGGCCCACCTATCAACATATCCTCCATAGTGATGGCTGGGCCGAACAGGTGCGCGCCTGCCAGTAATGGGCGCTCGCGCCTGCCATTAATGGGCGCGCTCATTCGAAATGACTTCACTGCGGACCCATGCCCATCGACAAATTGTCCATTAGTGATGGCTGGGCCCAACTGGTGCTCGCCTGCCAAATATAGGCAACGAGCTTTGCGCCAAAGCCGTTGTTGTGCCATCAGGTGGGCGACATATCTGGCAGTACTTACTGTCTTCAATTCAATGCGTGGGCCCTACAAAGTCTTCGTTTCAAATGGGTGGGCCCAACAGGTTCAATGAATGGATAATGGAATTTCCACACAAATGTGGCTCAGGTAATGAAGACAATCAAGATCCTGGGATATGAGGTTGGACTTGTACTGAAGTCAAAGAGAGTTTCATGGGCGTCATTGACGACGGCATGGAGAGTGGTGGAAGGAGTGATTCAACGTTGCACACTTTTGAGTCTTTCTTTGATTCAGGTGCCACACCTGTTTTCGCACCGGCGCCTGAGTCAACCTAGCTACATGTTACTTACACCTGCGAATACAAGGTTTGGGTTCCAAGCTGTTCCAAAACCCTGTCATGTAAGAGCGCCAACGCGTAGGAACCTCAATTTGTTTGCGCCCCAAGTAACCTCAATTTGCCAGCGCCCCAAAATGTGTCAGTTGAACTGAAAGAGCGCCAAAGCATATGCGTGCCAAAGAATAACTGCATCAAAAAATTTATTATACCCTAGCTACTGTAGGGTATTTCAAGATATGTATGGCCATGCGAATTTTATTTACAAGTCCTCCTCGATGATGGTGTCCGGTTTGCTCGACTGGCCTGCTGTCGCCGGATTGACGCTATCGGGAGCCTTACCATGCGTAGGTTGTCTGCGCTGAGGTGCACTCGGTGGGCCCTTCTTCCGATTGCTGGCCGGTTTCTTCCTGGTGATGTCCGCGTCGACCTCTTCATCAGCCTTCCTTTTGCGCCCAGTAGGTTCATCTCCACTTAGCGGGGAAGCGGGGCGAGATCCAATGGCGGTAAGTGGAGAACCTGGGCCAACCTCAACCGGCGCGAGTTCTACTCCTTCGGTGTTGGGCGCTGTGGGACTTGAAGGGGCAGCAGGTGCAACTCCAGCAGTGGCGGTGGCCACCACTGATTGCTGTTTCGCTGCGATGGGTGAGTTTGGCCGCGAGGGTGCATTCGAAGCAGGCGCTGGAGTTGATGGAGCGATGGTGGGCGCCATGTCAGTCCCATATGCTGCGCCAGGCGAACGTGGAGCTGCATCAGTGACAGTGGGCACCGTGTGAATCGCATCTGCTGTGCCGGACGAACGTGGACCTGCATCAGTGGGGGGCGACGTCGACTGACCCCTTTGAAAATCCTGGGCGCAGGGCAGTCGAGCTTCGAGGACTTGGATCATCTCCTCCCACTTGGGTTTGGCGCGCTCCAACAACTCCTTCACCTTCGCCACTGAGTCGTCGCTTTCCACCAATACCAGTGCGCCCATCTCCTCTGGAAGATCGGTCATTTTCGTCACCAACTCTAGGAGCGCCGCATGGATGCCATTTCCAAGGAGGAAAAGGCTTTCCATCGCGAAGATCACCTTTTGCGTCGTCCAATCCTTGGTTGAGGTAACTGATTGCTCCATCTTCTTCAGCTTGAGGAGCAGTTCGGCCATGTCTTCCTTCCGCTCTTCGATGACACCGTCGAGCTTCTCCCTTGTCTCCTCCACCTGCGCCGCAAGTCTCCTGCACTGTTTTTCGAGTGTGATGATGCGGTCCTCCATACGAGCTGGGCAATTGAATTGGTCAGTTGGATGGCTGGACTTCATTTGAAGAGATTTACCAATCTCAGTGGGCGCAGAGTCTGAGGGCGATGCAATCGAGGGCTGGGCCTTTGGCTTGGCGTTCGGAGTGGAATCTAACAAAGACATTTCAGAGAGCATTGGGCATGGGGAGTTTGGCACAATACCTTTTACCTGGGGCTTCGACGGCCCTGCAACCTTGACCGCCACGGGTGCGTCTCGTTTGGGTGCCGCTGGTTTGGGTGCCGCTGGTTTGGGTGCTGGTGTAGGTGCCGCGGCTTTGGGCGCCACAAGTTTGGGCGTGGTGTTTTTGGGCGCCGTTGCCTTGGGCGCGGCGGGTTTGGGTGTAGACTTTTTGGCCTCCTTGTAGAGCAGACCATCCTTGTAAAACGGATTGTCGATGATGGTCCGCTGCCTCAGTCGTGAATGGCCCGGGCATTTATGCCGAGACTCCTTGCAAGGAGCGCAGGCCTTGTTCAGATCTTGTTCATCAATGGCGCTCCTTCCCAAAGGCATCGGCTCCCCACCGGCAAAAAAGCAAGGCTTCTTCATAGCGGTGCACTTGGTGCATGGCGTGGCGAACACATCCACGATGAGGTACCTCCTGATGCCATTCTCATCGATCGGATTCCTCTCTGGGTCATAGGCGTACTCGAACGAAACCGGCCCGTCGAAATCGAGTTGGTCATGTCGGCCCCAATAAAACGGCCCCCGTTTTCCACCTTTCCCTCCTTTCTTTCGGGACGCCCCAGCCTCCTTCTCATCCCTCTCCAACCGCCGAGCTTCTTTCACATAGCGATCAGTTGTTTTTGGCGGGTCAAACTCCTCATCGTCAATGGCTTGCTGGAGCGTCGCGGAATCCCAGACGATGGGATCAGTGGGATCAGTGGGGAAACGGAGCACCAAGTTCTTCTTCAGCTGGCCTTCTTTCGCCGGGATGAGGTCTTAGAGTTCAGGCACCTTCTTTTTGCCTTTGGGCGCGTCCTCTTCATCGTCGTATTCATCATCGTCCTCTTCGACTTGCGCCCTCTTTGCCTCCTTTTTCTTCTTCACCGCAGGCGCCTCCTCATCAATCTCCACCCACGCAACGGCTTTCCCCTTTTCCTTCGTTGCAGGCGCCTCCCCGGCCTCGTCGCTCTCCACAAACTCGGCACTTTTCGCCTTGACGCGCGCCTTGCCTTTCCCCTTTTTTGACTTCGTCGAGGGTGCCTCCTTGTCGGTCTCCAACTCGGTACTTTCCAACTTTCTTTTTTGCGTGACTTTGGGCGCAGCGGGCTCAACCAGCATATCTGGAGGAGCATGGTGCCCCAAAGCAGTCACGGCCGCAGTCTTCAACCTGTCCAGGTCGTTCAGTCTCTTGCCGTGAGGTCCTGGCATCATCATCGCAATTTGGCGGCCAGGGTTAGTCGGGTTAGTCTTCAGCGTGAGGTCCAGTTTGCTTGTCTTTGACGGTGGGAGAAAATGTTTTATGACCGCAATGAAGGGATCCGCCGCGAAATGGGCGGGCGAATGGAGGGTAGCTTCTTGGATCATCGTGTCGCACTGTTGGGCGAGTGGAAGGAAGGGGTCGAACATGGGTGTAACGGCGGCTCAGCCGCAGGAGAGA